CTGCTTAGACTCTTGGCACTCTTAGGTGAGCAGACTTAGTCAGCCTGTGTTGCCCTCACAGCATGTGGCATTATCATCCATGGCAACATCAAGGATAACACTAAACTGACCTTCTTTGGTGATGACCTCTGCATGTGCTTCTTCTGAGAGGTTATGAGAATCAAACCTCTGATGCTAGCTCAGAATTTGGAAGCATTCTGTGTCAGTGGTGGTGCACAAGGTCAGCTATCTCTTCAAAATGACATGGTTACATTGCTCATTGCAACAATGTAGGTCTGGCTGCAAATGTGCAGAGCTGTGTGATAGCCCTGAAAGCTTACATATGTTCCACTCTGAATGAGTGTCTTCGTGAGTTTGATGCACTGCTACATTGATGCAATGTTGACTGCTGAGCCTCAGCACTGAAAACAAATAACCTGGTGATCACCATGTCATACAAATGTTTTGGCCCTGACATTCAAGATCAGTATCACATCACTTTACAGGGTTGGCTGCTTCTGACCTTGCAGAATCCCTCAGAGGTCTCCAATATGGCAGACTTACAGAAGATACAAGGAGCACTGGACAGTGGGCAGTGCTTCTTCTGGACAATGTTGCCTGAGGAGCTCCAGTGCCGCAATGCTGAAAGGGAGAAGGAGGCAGAGGAGAAGCACCATACTGCTGAGGTGAGGAAGGCTCTCACAAAACCAAGGGCACCAGCAAGTAGGAAACAGCCTTTTCCAGAGCTGGATGCAGAGCAACATGCTGCCAAGAGCATCATAGGACCAGTGGTACAATGTCCAGCAGGGTCAAACAGCTCAATGCCTTCTTCCCAGATCCAGCAAACCCCTTCCTTCCTCAATGCAGCAATGTTCCCTGTTCCACTGCCTAACCCTACCTCTGCTGCTGCCCAGCCTTGCCCTGCTTTTCCTCCGCCAACAAAGAGAATGTGGACAATGCCCAATGCTGCAATGACAGCAGCTCAAGTACTGTCAGTGCCCAAGACAAGTGTCAATCATCTCCCATTTCATGACATCATGAACACTCAGCAGGGAATCAATGTTGCAGTGCTGCACAATGGGTTGTTCTTCTTTGCTCAACAATGAACTATGAATATCATTATTATTGATAATAGTTAACTTCAATGAATTATGTTGATCCCTATGTGAAGCATTGTGCAATGCAACTTGTAGCCAGGGGGGCTCAGCATCTGGCCTGACCTTTGCAGAGGAACCCGCGTTGCCCTGATCCTACGGAGTCAATTTGGCCGGAATCGGGTAGCCATACCGCTGGAATTTTGCTGGAACAGAGAAAGTGTGGGAATCGTCGCTAATGGGTGACAGGGTCGTGGAGCGATCCGTACACTAATGTGCGATAGAAGGCAGCAGTCACAGGTCGACGGTGCCCAGTCACTCTATGCAGTTCTCTGTGTTTCAGCTTTGAATGCGTAAAATGAGTTAAATGAGAATGGCAGCCTGCAGCGATAGGCTCGGTGAAACGGGGAGGCAGCGAGCACCATTGAAACAAGACGACAAGTGTGGAGTATTGAAGAGATCCGTGGTTACGCAAATGGGAGACGCACGTTATATCTCGTGAGCGTTGCACAAAAGGGGCATTCTCATTCATACTTGTCAACAGCAAGGCACACAAGAACCAAGGCTGCGTAAGGCGAACTAGCTCTCCACTCACCAGAGGCTTCAAAGCACTTCCTCACGATGGACCGCTCTAATTCTGCGCTCCAGGAGCGGGAACGTACTCAATCAACTCTTGAGATACTTGGCGTTGATGAGCATCGAGCTGGGAGAGACGGCAGCATCCAAAACGTTTCATCCTCCGGGTCGGCTGCTGTCGGCGCCGGTCCACAGTGCTCATGGGCGTCTGTAGCAAGACAACCCTTCAATATGTCTGGAGCTAGGCTGTATCGAATGCAAGGACCGCTCCTGAGTTAGGTTAGGCAATATCACTTTTATGTTTACCGGACTTGATCACAGATAGACTGTAAAGGATGCTTACAGTGAACTGTCGCCTCGCAACAAGTACAGGCACTGTCATTGTATTGTGGGGGATGGAGCAGCGTTGTGAATGAGTGTACAGTAGTTTTTATCCAATTACTGAGATAATATGGATTTATATAGGAAGTGTATATACATCAATGATATCAAGCCAGCGTATTTCATCTTTAAATTTACCTAGATAGCAAATAAGTTGGCACTACAATATCACGGCATTCGTATTTCTCATCTGCTGAAAGTACTAGAAACTCTCTCTAGTGGCTTATTGACCCATGCATGATAAGATAATATTTTCGCTACAATTAAGACTGCAACGACACACGGCATATGCTACTACAATATGAAAAGCCTCAATGATACTGTGTACGCTCGCTCCTCTTCAAAAGGATGAACCCTCACTCGAGCTCCTCCAAGCTCCTCGACCAATACCCGTCGAAGCGGCAGGAGCAGGGCCTGAAGAAGAAGTGACTTACGCAGGGGCGGCAGCACTGCTCGCTGCGGCCTCAACCGATGGCACCAGTGCAGCCGTAGGACTGGGGGAAGGAGCAGCCTTTGCGGCAACGGCGTCAACTGATGGCTCCGGCGCAGCCGCAGAAGTAGAAGTCGGGGCCTTCATGGCAGCAGCATCACTGCCAGCTGCAGCGTCAGCCGCAGGTGCCGGAGCAGCCGCACCGTTCACAATATTGTTCACCACAACTTCGACACCAGCGTTGGCTTCAGTCTTGGATGTGGGCGCCGATTTGGGTGCAGGAGACGCTGATGCTACGTCCTCCGTAGGGGTGGGTTCAGGCATCGAGTGCTTGTGCCTCAGCCGACGGTGGATACCACCCCGATGATGGTGTCGGAAATGCCCGAGCCGCCCATGGTGACCGTGGTGGTGGTGGCCGTGCCGCCTGTGATGACCGTGATGATGGCCGTGGTATCGATGACCACGGTATCCTTCCAATTCCTCGATTTCGCGCAGACGATCGGACGCTAATCTCTCGGTCTCCTCCAGCTCACCGAAAAGTACGCCTTTGATGAACGCGTTCTTCATCGCTTGCTCGCCGAATCTCTCACCCTCCATAAACGCGCGCCTCCTGTTGGCTGTGGAGGGCTGGCTGATCGTCTTTGATGGCCTCTGCCCGAGCTCACCCGCCAGCCCACCGGGCGCCCCGCAAAGCTCGGATGTCATGGCCTCGATCTCCTTTCCTCCTTCGGTGGGAAGACCGCTCGGATCATTGGTAAGGGGGTTGGCTGCGATGCCGGCGACAAGGGCGACGAAAACAACGACGGAAGTGATCTGCATAGTGATGTTCGGGTAGAATTCGAAGGTTGGAATTCAATCGAGCGTGCTTTATGAAGGTATATAGTAGTGGTCGTAAAAAGTCGTGGATTCCTGACCAGCAGGTAGTCGTGAAGAGAGAAGACGTCGAGTGGGATGTGAAGTGTCTAGGTGAACCTGCACCTTTGCCTGTTAGGTGCGAAACCACGATCACAGACTGGTGTCCTTATATAGACTCGAAGAAGTCACGCAGGGGTGCTCATGATCGGAAGCTGTGTCATCTGTTGCGTGCCATGTTGAATTACCAATGCGTAGAACCATAACCAAATGAATGGAGGCTGAGTATTGCTGAGCCGTATCCTGAGGAGTCACTAGCCAAATGTTAGAAAACTGACAACCGTTGAGTAAGCCCTTTCAACGATCGTGGCAAACCGGTGTTCATTTGGGAAGTTACAGAACTGAAGTGCATCCGCCTCCTTAGCGTCGGAATGGTGGAAGTACTGTCCTTTGAATGGACAATAGTCCTGCCAATACAGTCGCCTTCGCGGCCAGAGACAATCTCCCTAGCATCAATAGAGTTCTCTAAGGAAAGCAGTGCCTCACGGAATCGGACCAGTGCAGTCGGACGTGTGGCATGTTCGGACCCTGTCCAATAACACACACAAATGTTGATCGGAGACACTGGAGTGCAAGTTTCAAACTTGAAGTTGTCGAACCTCCAAGTTTCAGGATGGAAACTTGCCAACTAGTGACACGGGGGTGGGACCAGCTCCGCACGGGCACCATCGAAACAACAAGATAAGTGTGGTGTATCGAAGAGATCCGTGATTTCGCAACTGGCCCATCCTAGCATGTGTCAGACGCATGCTATAGATCGTAAAGTGCCGCACATACGGGCATTATCAGTCCTTTGTCCCTCTTCATGCTTGTCTACAGCAACGCACATAAGAACCAAGGCTGCGTGAGCCGACGTAGTTCTCCACTCATCAGAGGCTTCAAAGCACTTCCTCACAGTGGTTCTGCACCCCAGGAACGGGATATATTGGTGTTGACGAGCATCGAGCTGGGAGAGAGGGCAACATCGAGAGCGTTTCATCTTCCGCCTTGAATTTGATATGCTTCCCAGAACCGATCCATGGATGTATCGAGTAGTAGAATTGTCGCCACAATCAAGGCGCTAATCGATGGGCAAACCTGCCTTGTATTGCATGACGATGTCTTGTCGAATGGATAATCAAGCAGGCACAGTCTATGCTTTTGCCCTGTTGCAGGGGCCTTTGCGGATGTTAGCACTGGACAACTGCGCAAGATGGGACACTCACCCTACCTGGGTGGATATGCTGGGACAATATAGCTGATCTCAATGGACAGTAGCAATGATAGACGCAGAAAAACTAGCCGATTGATGTGGTGAGAAGAGAGACCTGAGACGGCGGACGGTCGGTTTCTGTTCATATGTCGGCGCCTGTGCTCATCGGTCTATAGAAAGACGGCCCGTATCGCCCAGCCAGCATCAATGTCCGGAGCATCTAGGCTGTATCGAATGCAAAGACCGCTCCTGATTTAGGTTAGGCAATATCACGTTTATGTTAACGGGACTTTGGTCACAGATAAGTTATAAGCGAAGTTTAACCAGTCGCCTCGTGAAATAGGGTTTCTTGATAAGGACCGAAAATGTCGTGATATTATGGGCGATGGGGCAGTATAGTGAGTGAAGTGTTTATCCAATTATTGAAATAACATGGATATTGGAACGATAAAGTGTACATCGAGTCACGGTAGCCGGCTCACAGGAAGCGCCCGTTGCCCTGACTTCGGAGCCTATTTTGGACTGGGCAGAAATTTAATGGGGCCACGCACGAAACACTAAAAACCCGGTCCCGCTCCTCTCCCGACTCTCAACCGTCCGTTCCTTACCCTCTCGAGCACTTGATTTTCTACCACCATCTCCTAGAGGATTCTTGGCTTGTCATCTACAGTGCTCGTATAAAAGACCTTGGAACGGGGAAGGAATCACCAACTAACATAATCGCATCTTCCTCTTCAAGTGTCATCATGGCTCCCGTCGCGATCGAGACTCCTGTGCACACAAATGGCACAAATGGCGCCTCGTCTGACTCGGTCAAGAAGGTCCAACAGGAAACAGAGCATGTACACGACATTGATGTGAGTACCTACTCACTTCCAAAATAGCGGAAGACTGACGACCTTACAGCCCTCTAAGCTCACCCTTCACCTCAAGTCCGAACTGACACCAGTGCCGGCACCGGAGACTCTGACCTTTGGGACAGTCCACACGGACCACATGCTCGTCTTGAACTACTCTCCCGAGCTCGGCTGGTCCGCACCTTCCAGTAAGCAACCGCGATGCTGCTTGAACCTTCAGCTGATATGAGTAGTCGAGCCCTACGGACCGATGCAGGTCGACCCTATGGCATCCTGCATTCAGTACGCGACAAATATCTTTGAGGGGATGAAGGCATACATGGGTGCAGATGGACGACCGCGACTGTTCAGGCCGGATCTGAACATGGCACGTATGAAGCGCAGCGCGGATAGGCTTGCCCTCCCGGTATGTCACTATCCACTCGCCAGGATTCCCATGCTGATTAGAGATAGCCGTTCGACGAGCAAGCACTGCTCAAGCTGATCAAGACACTCGTGATGGTGGAGAAACGGTGGATCCCTACTGCACCAGGATGCAGCCTCTACATCCGCCCAACCATGTTCGGCACCCGTTGCGGCTTCGGCGTAACTCCCTCGACGTCCGCCACGCTACTTGTTATCCTCTCCCCCAGTGGTCCCTACTTCCCGGGACCTGTCCGCCCTATCTCCCTCTACGCAGAGTCGCGCGTTCGCCGTGCTTGGCCAGGCGGCACCGGCGGGCACAAGCTTGCGCTGAATTATGCACCTACGCTCCGGCCTACGCACGATGCCTCGCTGCAAGGATACAATCAGATCCTCTGGCTCTTTGGGGACGATGACCATCTAGGAGAGGTAGGACAGATGAACGCGTTCGTCGTCCTCCGTCGGGAGGATGGCTCACTCGACGTGATAACCCCCCCACTGGACGGGACGATCCTTCCGGGTGTGACCCGCCAGTCCGTCCTCGACCTCACACGCGCTCATATGCTCAATGCTCCCATTCCCGGTCTGCCAGCGGAGCTCACCCTGCACGTCCAAGAGCGCCATATGCCTATCGCGGAGCTAGTTGAGCACTCTGAGGCGGGCAGATTAGCAGAGGTCTTCGGCGTAGGCACCGCTGCTGTGCTCGTGCCCATCAATAGAATCGGGTACGGGGAAGAAGGGAAAGAGATCGCTGAAGAAACAGGTGCGAGCGGATTCGGACCCGTAGCGAAGGCGGTCAGGGAGGAGATCATGGCTATCCAGGAGGCGAGGAGGACGCATGTGTGGAGTGTGCCGTGCGACGAGTGAAAGTGTTTTTGTCATCGGTGTCCGAGCATTAGAAAATGGATATATTTGTTGTGATCTATGGTAAATACTACCTTACTAATGATATTGTTTTCTTGAATAACATTTGGCGAAATTCGTATTATCCATATTGAGTACATCTCTGTTCGTCCCATCACCTCATGTCCACCACACCCTGACCGACGTTCACCTCATGTCGACCAAAAACACGTAATTTCCCCGCTGTTCTTTTCTGCGCTCCGGGCTGATAGGAGACACAGGATACCGCAGCAGCCTAGAGGACCACCACGCAATCTGTTGGTACTGTTCACGCTCTCCGCAGTGGTGGTGCCTTGTAAGTATCAACTCAAGCCAGCGAGTGGACGCGCTCGTCTTTCTCTCCCTGCCGATCGTCAGTCGCTCACCGCTATGCGCAGTCTGCTTTATCGCTGGAACGAAGCTAGACGCTTGGGTTAGGGGGGACAAGGAGCTGCTGGATGCCCCTTCTGGCCCGGCTCCGGCTCTTCCACCGTCCGACGACCCGAAGGAGAGAGGGAAGAGGAGAAGCGCGTACGTCCCTCCCTGCCTTACACCGCCAAATCTATACCTCCTGACGTTTATATTCTCCTGTTCATTCCCGCTCTGCTCAATGCTTCACCGCCCCTTGTACACGATCCCGTGCAAACCCGTACAAGTCTGATTGAAGAAGCGAAAATGCTCGAGGCAGAACGTGAGGTGCTGGATCAGCGGCTTGGGCGAGTAAAAGAGAGAATAGCAGAGAAGGCAGCTCGTGCAGCCCGGGCTACCGGACAGGGCCAATGAGAATGCCTGTATGGGGATTTGTAGATGATGAACATGAGGTAGTGGATTTACGCTGGCGGATGTGTAGGGGAGAGGTGTGGGCGAAGGAGTCGCGTGCTGTCTGCTGGCGACGATCACCTTGTTCGGGTAGTGCACGGTCAACATCAACAACATCCCTCCTACAGCTCGACATCCTTCTCTCATGCGACGATAATGGACAGGGCCGTGGAAGATGGGGCAGCGTACCTCGTAGATAGACTAGCCAGGTTCAGATGCTTTCCATACGCACGTCGGGAACGTCCAACTGATTACATGCAATGCAAGGCTGCCTGATGATCAGCGTCTCCTTGTGGGCATCTGCGGCCGACCTGCCAGCGGCAAGACCACGTTCGCCTCTCTCCTTACCAAGGCGGTCAACCATCTCTACCTAGCACATCACCGCAGACATCCGCGAGAGTCCACCTCGATAACGGATGATGCCGCAACACGCACGAACCCCGACATTGCCCTCTGCATCCCGCAGGACGGCTTCCACCACACACGAGCGATGCTTGATACGTTTCCTGACGTAAAGGAAGCGTATGACCGACGGGGGGCTGCATTCACATTCGACGACGTGGGCTACTACGACCTCGTCTCCAAACTACGCCAACCCATACTAACGGGTCCTCACTCAGAACCGGTCATCATCACCGCGCCCTCTTTCGACCATGCGGCTAAAGATCCTGTGATGAACAGCATCATCGTACCTCCAACAGCCAGAATCATTATTCTCGAGGGTTTGTATACGTTCCTGGGAATTGATGGGTGGAAGAACGCGAGTGCGCTACTAGACGAAAGATGGTTCGTAGAAGCGGATTCCAAGATGGCCACGGCACGAATACTCTTGCGACATGTTGCTACAGGTGTGGCGAAGGATATGGATGAGGCCGTCTGGCGTGCGGAGAATAACGATATGCCCAGTGAGGTCCTCGCTGAATCATCATTTGTCCATGTTGCTGACTCTGCACTAGACGGAGATTTCCTCGAGGCGAACATGATGGCTCCAACGCGTATCATCAAAAGCGTGCATGATCCAGGCTTATCAACACTGCCATTGGGTGACTGAGCAGGTTCAGGCGACTGTGTGATCCAAAGATTTGTTGGTCGGTTGCAGGACAGAAGCTGTCAAGAGGGACGGATCGGTGTCAATGATGGATTGTGGCGTCACGCTGGCGTTGGATAATCGAAGCGGATGACTATAAAAGTGTTGTGAAAAGCCACATGACGTACTAGGCGCTGCCATGTTCTTGCACTAATTGTATGCGCTCCATCGTGCTGTCCGCAAGCAAATCCCGCCATGAACTTCCATTTCCGGGGAATATGTCCGATGACAAATCCTTCGTTTGGATGGCAATGCTTGGGTAAAAGGAGAACGCCTTGATCCTCTTGCGCTGGATGAGATACACATATGCCTGATCGAGGGCCCGGCTGTAGGCGAAAGCAGGGGCTCGAAGATGCCGTATGAGTCGGTATGCCCCGCGGCGCGATACTGCGTACGCGTGCGTGCATTTGGGCGTGTACGACGGGCGAATGGCCGGGGCTTCAGGGAAGGAAGGATGAGTCTGTTCCGCGGACCAACAATGGCCTGCGCAGACGAAGCCAGGGTGAATGTCTGTCTTGTTCGGTTTCTTCCAGTATTACTCACCCAGGTACACGGCATCCCAATCTTTTGGTAGGAAAGTCCATACGCGGTGGAGCCGAGTCTCAATATCGAACTCTACATCCACGTCATCCTCTAGAATCAAGATGGCATCGTCGTGAGATTCAGTGAATCGCCTTAAGAGACCGACGTGCGAATGCCAGCAGGCGAGCATGCCGGGGGAAAGAATACGCCAAGGGGGCAGATCCTGAACTTCCTGGGGTGTCTGAGGCGCATACAGGCCGTCGTCCGGTCCAGCGCAGGGTATAGCGGGCCGATTGTCGGGGGCAAGGGACAGGGGAAGAGGCTCAATAAGGGCAGAAGAGTGCGGGGCCGACGGAGAAAGTTCCCAGAGGTCTGCAAATTTCAGACCAAGAGGAGAAGCCAGTGGATTATCCTGATTGGCGAGCACATCCGAAGGCCAGATTGCGTTGGATTTCCTGGTCGAATTTCTTGCTTTGTCCAAATCTTGGAGTGTCGAAGTATCTAGTTGTATGCGCTGCCGTCTTCGTTCCATCAGATCCGCGACAAGAGGCGAATTCTTATCCGTAGCATTCCAGTACTCCACATCGATGCCCAGTGCTTCTGCCAGCTCCTGCATCCGCTCTCTCCTGTCTATGCGGGAAGGTAGACTGACAACATATATGCGCGAGAATACGCCCAGTGACTTGGAGTGCTTGTACCGATCGGCGGCCCGGATGGATGCCACTCTTTCACGAAAGGTGAGTGAACGAAATATTGGAGTCCATCGTCCGGGAATGGAACCAGATGCGTCGTCCCATATTGTTAATCGGCAGAGCAAGCAAACAACACCAAACACCAAACAGGCGATGAAGACCCGCTGTCGTGACTTGAGCAAGATCATGACATGAGAAAGGCTGCGAAGATGTATTCGATCCTTCACTTTCAACGACCCTTTTCGGAGCCAACATATCAAACACGTGATTTCGTAACGTTGAATGATTGTTTTTTCTACCGATAAGTATTTACGCTTGACAATTACTACCTATGCCTATACAACCATTAATTACTCAGTCTGTGAGCGTAACATGCCCGAAGCAACAAAATGGTGAGGGATTTGCCTACGTGTCCTTCTTTCTCCACTTTCGGCTACGACTCCCCTTTATACGGCGAAGACCACCGCAGCTAATCTGAAGGAACAGATTGGTCAGTTCACAGGTTCACCAATACAAGCGACGTTTGAGGCAGAATCAGAGGAGGCCTTTGGCCTGACCCAGAAGTTCATCGTCTTCGCAAAGGCGTGCCTCGTCCGAAGACGGGGACCTCATGCTCAAAGAACAAGGATGATCGGGTGTTCATCGTGTGCTGCAACAAGGTAGGATAGAACTGCAACTCACCGAATCATCCCGTGTCCTCCGTTATTCCATCGTTGTTCCTGTTTCGTGTAAGGATGATAAATGTAATGATTCATGACCCGTCAGAGTACCAACAATGACGAATCGGACATGGAGTGATAAGAACAACTCCTCACCACATGATTTCTCTAATAGGAGTAACAGAATGAGTTAGTTCGCAGCAAATGTCCGTTCCAAGTATTCGTGAGAACGCTGTCACAGTTTTTATACGTGTCACAGTGGTGGTTCTGGTTCAAAAGTAGACAAGGGGATGCGGAAGCAGAAATGGGCACGTGCAACACTGTCAACCGGAGGCTGTTCAGTGCAGGCCATCATCGACGACCGTGCTCGTCGTCCTCGCGGTCCAACTCCACGACCCCAACGCCCATTCATCTCCTCCTCCTCATTGTCTGCTTTCCTTAACCTAATCACTCGCTTGCTCTCATTACGAACTTGTTCTCTCTATCGCTCTCTTAATCTGTCATGGTCGCGTTTGGGTCGTTCGACGACATATGTGGAGCCGCCGCGCTGGTGATATGTCCGCTTGTGGGGAGCGCACAGGGCACCGAGCCAACATGCTATAGTCGGAATGTCGAGGTTGCAGGGAACCTCATCTTTCAACCTGGTGCGTTCCGGTCACATCAAACCATCCATCGAGACAGTATCTGATCCAGTACCCAGCAACATGCTTTATCCACATCGTCGCAATCCTCATGACCGCAATCATGATCTATCATATTCGAGTAAAATACACGGCTGTCGGTGCGTGCAGTCACTGCTTTCCGGCTTTCCGTTCTCGGGAAGACGTCTGATCTTTCACAACAGGCCGAAAAGAAATTGTCACCTTTTTCTACATGTACATTCTCATCGAGTTCCTCGCGATGTTCTTGGACTCGGGTATCATACCAACAGCAAGTCCAGTATACCCAGTGCGTGCGGGTCAGGTCCATATACAGGCATGTAACTGACTATCTTTGCTCCAAGTGGTTCGCTGCTATCTACACCGGTCTCATTTCTGCGACATACTGGTGTCTTCTTGTCAACGGCTTCGTTGGGTTTCAGTTCGCAGAAGACGGTACACCATTGTCCTTATGGGTATGTCTTCTCAAGATCCGCGGTAAACGGCAGATCTCACGGCCCATGCAGTCACTCCGCATTAGCTGCTTTGTCGTGTTCGGCGTGTCGTTCTTCATTGCCATTGCGACGTTCCTCGAGTTCGCTGGCTTCAGCTATTTCACCCCTGTGGGTTTGTGGGTCGTATACCTAATATGGCCGGCAATTTGCGTGGTCGTCTACATTGTCGCCCAACTCGTCCTCGTCATTCGAACTCTGGAAGATCGCTGGCCAGTTGGCGACATCCTGTTCGGCACTGCATTCTTCGCTGTCGCCCAGGTCGTTCTGTTTGCTTTCAGCATCCAGATCTGCGATGCTGTCTCGCACTACATCGACGGTGTTTTCATCTTCACGCTCTGCATGCTCTTGAGCGTGATGATGGTATACAAGTATTGGGATTCGATTACGAAGGAGGATCTCGAATTCAGCGTAGGAAACAAGGCGGCCGTATGGGAAGTCAAGGATCCATTGCTAGCCGGATCTTCACCAAGTGGAGGTGTGGGGCTGGATTACCCCGAGGAGGATTTGCAGAGCAACTACCGCGGTGCTCCAGCGAGCCTCGTTGGTGGCGTAAGCGGACAACAATATTACCAGGGGTACGGATCACACTACCCGCCGCAGGGAGGGTATGCGGACCGGTATTGACGGGGAAGGAGAGATGCAATGGACTCCTCACCCTACTGACTGACTTTGTATCCTCACATCCAATTCTGACTTCATCGAGCATGCCTCAGGACGGTTCCGCGCGCTAGGGAGACTGCTGACTATTCCGCACATGTGTAGTACTTATAGAAGTTTTCCTAGTTCCATACTCATGGACTTCTATCGCATATCATCGCAACGCACACGCCTGGCCCTGCCCTCACCCGATTTTGATAATCGGCCGAGCCCTTGTCCAATTCCATTATGTATCTGGCAAATTGGTGCAGATCCCCATATTCGTGCTCCGATGTTTGCGCAGGATGCCGCCCGCCAAATAGCCTGCTATCCTGTTCGCTTCCGGTACCTGTGTAGGATTCTGGTACCTCTCTCTCGACGTACAATCTCCGCCGATTTCATCACGATGTCCCTTTCCAAATTGCGGAGATGCGTAACGACACATTGATGCGCCTGTTGCCCGTATGAGATCGTAGACGATATGGAGGTACATTGTCAGGGTACTTTGACGACTGCATCTTGTGCAACTATCACGGCTCCAAAAAGCTTCACCATCAAGAATCAGATCGGAAAAGAAGTTCTGGAATAGGAGACTAAAGGGTGCGACGTGGAGCATGTACGAACGTGGCGTTCTTGGACGGACTGATCCGTTCCTGAAACGTCCACACCTTCTTTTCACAGAGTCACCGGTCCCCCAACCTGTGGGAGAGCAATATATTATGGTTGCTGTGTCTAATGAACCGTGTTAGGTCGGGCAGTCACAAGGCAGGAGTCACAGTGTTCCTGATCGCTGGTGGTGCGGGAATGCAAGAGTTACGCACGTACGACGACGTAAGTGTGTCGATCCATCTACAAAGGGGACATAGCATGCTCGAATTAGGTCGGGATAACCCAAGCGCTGAGCCTGCCGAACTTCTCGCACAGACAGCCTTTTGTTTGGTATGTTGATGAAAACAGACGGAGAATCCGAGGCAGGGGCATTGATTTCCCGTCGTCGTCTGCTGGCCTTTAGCCGGTTGAAGGAAGGGACAGGTCGAGAGGTACGCCAACCAGGGCAAACAGAACGCCTTGCGAGCGTTTGTCGGTGTCTCAGGAGCGGAACACGCGCTACATTCGCACACCGATACAACAGGGCCTTGGAAATCAGGCGGTCGCGGTAGTCGGGAACAATGAAGTAAGAAGCGTGTTGCATGAGCCAGCACGCCCACGCACAATCGCGAACAAATAGAATTTGACCGTAGAACCCCGCCGTTATGGTAAGCTTCTCCAGATGGATGGCAGTGACGCCCGTGTCGCCGGATCTCTTCGGCCCGTTCGCGAACATTCGACGCCCTCATTCGTAACAAGGGTATGGGTGCAGCGCGATTGTGGAGAGAAGAGCCGCGAAGCACAGTGTTATGAGCGCAGAATATAGAAGAATACCCCATTATGGAGATTTCCATTACGACCGCAATTCTATGGGATTCTACCCGTAGATGATACATACTCCGGCCGACTTGGAACTTAACCGGATGGCCAAAAAGCTTCATGAGTGATCCGATCGGAATCCATTAGATCGCCAGCAAGTCTAGTTGACAGGAGATGCTCTGCCATTGACAAGACAGGGGCAATTCGCGATGCATGTCCTGCACAGTTCCATGGCTTGCTCCAAGCGAATGACATGCTATTCCAAAGCGAAAATTGTTCAGTGAGGAGGCGATGGGGGAAGTCCGCGGATCATCCGGGAATGAGGAAGGGAATGCATAGCACCGGATGGCCCAACTCGGGGCTGGTCACGCACTCGTCACGGAGCGTCGGTTGAAATTGACTGCGCCGAGCCGGGCGGCGACGCAAGTATCTGTCGGGTCTTGTCATATTTACCCATCTCGGAAGGTATGTAATGGCTGAGTGAGCGCGCCAACGTGGCTTGAGACAAATGATGACATGGTGGCGTGGCACGGTCCTCGATACGACAAGCGAACGGGGCATATTAATTGTTCAAACAATTAATGCTAATCATATGGTTTGAAAGCGAGTTGACTTGGAAGTTCGGAAAAGAACCTTGGCCGAAGGGGCGGAACGGCTCGGCCCCGGCGGGGGTTTCAGACCCAATTATTGGCCAGTTCTGGAGCGCCTGGTGGGGGCGGTGATCGAGATTTAGGCTACCACTCGTGGTCCATATTGGCATGGGCACCGATATGACCAAGCGTCATATTACGCCCGGGAGGGCGGGCGATGACGGGGAAACAGCAAGGGACAAGCGGCGCAGACTGTTCTGGAAATGGGTCGGAGAGAGGAGTCTTGGAAGGGGTCGGATGCGGGCAGAGCGAATGATGGCATCTTAGCCACCACCATAAGGGATTGTGGGAGGCAACGGATAGAGTGACCCTTCAATTCACAGCCGAGAGTCCAGTCCCGATCTGCTGATAGCCAGAAACCACTAGAAAAGCTTGCTTCTTCGTCTTAGTGAATCAAGGGCGGGCGGCAGAAAAAAAAGATATAATAATATGAAGCCGTTGCATGTGGTTACCATATAAGGCTCAAACTTAGTAAGCATCCATTCCACACATTATATGGTTACGTGCCCAGAGGAGGAAACCCGACCGCCAGGAGACGGCATCAAACGGGCTTGACCCCTGTTCGATTGATGCGCAGTGCCAGCGGTCGTGAGCGAGTGAACATGGCGCATGTCTGAGAAGATGATAGAGAGACAACCGGAAAGGGGAGTTTTGGACGTTCGTATGTGTGGCCTCATCGACCATGACGGCGACCGCGCGACACGTCGCTCCAGGGAAAGCGGCTTGCGCGACAGTCACAGAACTCTGGGCGGTATACAAGACAAGATAGGGGCTGTCCCGTTTCTTCTTTTCTCGATGACAGGGCAACCCGAACAGACGCTGGTACTACGATAGAAGGGGCACGTCACGGCAAGCGGGATCTGCAGGCCGGTTTGCTCGCTCCTTTTTGCTGCGAGTAAGAAAAGAAAGAAACGTAAGTCAATAGAATCGAAGACAATGGTAGTCTGCGCAAATTGCAAAGTCTGATTACCGCCGTTTTCATCATTGTTCATCACGCTACTTGATGAGACTATCTTGTGCGCCAGGAAGGAATGGCAATGGTGACGGATGTGTTCCTTTCTGTTGTTCTGGTCATTCTGAACAGCGGGTTGACGACCGCAGAAGAAAGAGTGGACAAAGAGGTGGCGAGTCGGGGTAAAATTGGGTCTTGCGATTGTGTTGGCAGTGCCTCCCGTCGACCAAGTTCGGTAACGGTGTAGCATATTCTTCCGTCATCACACACGGGATCTCAGGGGAAGAGAGTGGCGAAAGGGTTAAAGGGGGAGCGAAGTTGAATTTGATTCCGAGATTTCCTTCCACGGGAGCGAGACCCCTGAACTGGCCCAATTCAGATTTAGTCTCGAATCTTCATGCCCGCTCCCCGTCATGATGCAGATGCAAAGATGCACGGGTTAGCGTCCGGCCCTCTCCCGCTGTCAGCAGCAGGCTGGCCAATTCCGCCGGACGGTAGGGGGGACAGGTTTCGGCTGTGCTTCCCACTCACTTTTTCCAGCATGCCCGATGACCCAATTGATCGAATACGCTCCCTTGGAGCCGGCTTCGTGAGGAGCAAAAGTTACCAGCACACCTTCGGACTAAACCGTAACAAACAAACGAAAATTGCGAATCCTTACTTGCATCATCATGAGCTACGTACTCGCGCTTCTCGATCCTTCTGAGCAAGAGCCCAAACCATGGGAACGTTGAATGGCGCCCGAATAGCCGGTTCAGCGGGACGAGCTTGAAATGGGTCCCAGAGCGGAGACACTTAGAGACGCAAGATCAGACAGGCGTGTCCGATTGGAGTTTCGGTGATTGTCTCCAGTGGAGATCATCGCTGGGTCCGACCCATACATGTACACATAGATTATTGACCCCGGAACGGGCGTGCCATCATGTATCTATCTTGCAATGCTTGTATGCAAATCCAAAACCAGAACCCTGCGTGGGGTGGTGCGCATGCAGCGCTGCCCTGGCCTCTGGTGTGTAGGGATGCACCGCAGTTCCGATGGTTGAACCCGTTGATGGGCGAATGGAGCGGTGACCGTGCGAAGGGAAGGGAAACAGAAACAGAAAGGCCCAAAAAATCCTTGCGGCGGGCGCCCATGCGCGTATCGTAAGACCCGTTTTTTTTTCTCTTCCATATTTCTTCTCCCTTTTAATTTCCTCCTGGGAGTTCTGAATCGTAGGGGGACTTGGGAACCCGCAAGGAGTATTTGACGGGTTCTGGATTGGAATGTGACGCAGTCATGTAATACACGGTCTTACGGTTACGCAGATCTCGCATCTGCCATCATCGCCCAGGACTGGCCCCCCCCTGCCACCCGAGGACGAAGGGGCAAAAAAGCGCAGACACATGCTGAAAGGGAGAGGGTAATTTCACCCGCGGCCGCCCCATCCCCCGCCTTTGCCTCGGCGCATGGCCCCCTTTCTTCTTCTTCCCTCTTTTGCCTCAGACCTTGTACCGCAGCCTTAGCCCTGTGCCGTATCCGTATCCGTATGCCGTATGCCGGGAATTTCTCTGACGTGGCTTGAAACAGAAACAGCCGTCCATCCTCACAGGACCACCTCGCCCGCCCCCGTCCGGCCGGCGCATCCAAATCCCCCATCGTGTTTGATTAGTAGATTTTTTTCTGTCTTCCCCTGCTCCTCGGGCCTGAGCTTCTTTTTCTTGCCATGAGATTATTGGCTGCGCGGCTCCTGCGGCTGTAGCGTCGGAGTGAGAAGGGTATGAGGACGCGCGACACGGATCGAATAGACACGGAATACGATGTCCCGAACTGGGCTGACCTGATCAGGTATCATAAATTGTAATTTACACGCATAATATGATTTGATCGCCATATCCGGTACATGTTCTCAATATGTTTAGCCAAGTGGGAACGGTGAAGTGTAGGCGGTGATTCTAGTGCACCCAGGGGCGCTGCCGTAGTCAACCTTTTCCTCTTCCGTTATCCCCGCGTTCATTCTTCTCTTTCTCTCTCTCTCTCTCAACCTTTTTTGCTCCTCTTCCCCGGATCCTTTTCTCATTTCCCTCTTAACCATCTCCCCCTTCGCTCCATCTCATGCCCTTCCCGCCGCCTCTCTCCTTCCCCTCCCCTCCCCCTCCCCACTCACGACCTTCTTCACTCTCTCATGGCTCTACTTCTTACACCCCATCCAGAGCCTGCTAACTCCATCTCCTGTCCTCGTCCCCGTTCTCACATGCCTGGTGCCCTCGCTCAAACATCTTACGACCCCGCTCGATACGTCCTACTCCTCACACCTCCGGACCAGCCACGGCAACTTACGAAGCGCGAGAGCACAGAGGTTGAGCCTCGTCTCGCCGCACACCTAGCAGCCCTCGTTACCGCAGGACTTGGGGAGCAGGAGAAGAGATATCCAGAGAAGATGCAGCTACCAGTGCATATGCTGAATGGCAGGCCGTCATCCTCAGGCCACGTGAGGCAAAAGACTTCTCTGAGTCTCCAGGTGCCTGCGACAAGCCAAAGGCCTGCGTCCCAACCAGGTGAGTGGCTATATGCGCCCAAGTATCTAGGTCTTTGGCAAGCTGACCATGTCATAGTGGTGGCAGGCCCCTCAAATCACCCTCTTATGGCATACCGGAATGCCGCGGCTAGTTCCTCTCAAATGTCCCTTTACAACTCCCCGGTCTCACCCCCAACCGAGAGTTTCAATCCCCGGCCATATTCGAATGGTGCGGGGCCTAGTCCGATTGAGTATGAGCCCCCAGTGGTAGAAGAGGCTCCGCCACCACAGCATCGCGTGCATGCGATATCCAACGCCATGCAAGCGATGACTGTTTCCCATCCAACATCTGTTCCTATCGACTCGCGCCGGTTGTCGATTTCCTCTACTGACCGGCATGTTGTCTCCCTCCCTGCCTCTGCAAAACTGACGTTCTGGGACACGCCCTTCCCTGACAAGGCGACGAAGGACAACACATCGCTTGCGCGAAATACTTGTTCCATGATGTGCTACATCTGGTACTCTGACTCGATCGGTCTGCCACTCACCGAGGCCGAGCAGCAACAGCAGGATTCGCAGGATTCGCTACCAATCGAGGAGGAGATACGAACACGTATGCAGTTTAATCCCTCCAAGGATTTCATCACGTTTATGCAAGGGATACTATCGACCACCCAGTTGAGTCGAAGTGTGGTCGTTCTAGCGTTGTACTACGTGTACAAGCTGAGGCAGAGCGCATCAGTACCGGCTTCGAGAGGGAGTGAGACGAGATTGGCTGTTGCTGCATTGATGTTGGCGAATAAGTGCGCATATATCTACCTTTTGTTTGTCGTTGCTGACTCTGATGTAGGTATGTGGATGACAATACATACACGAACCGGACCTGGTCTGATGTCTCCCACCTACCCCTAACCGACATCAACAAGGCAGAAGAGGAGTTCCTGAACGGTATCAACCACAACCTTTGCGTCAGCCGTCCAACGTATGACGCCTGGCTGAAGACGTTGAAGAGTTTGGCACATGCGAGAGACCAAGAGCATGCTGCATATCTGCATAAACGCTCTGTTCTTCGTCCCCGCACCATGCAGATACGCAAGCTCGTTCGTGCACGCTCTTCCTCTCCACTCAAGCCCCGTCTTCCCCAACCGGACGTGACATTGGTCTCCGCGGGCTTCTTGCCAACAGAGCAAACCGACGCGTTCTATTCCTCGCCCGCATCCCCAATTCTAAATGCAAGCCCATTGGTGAAGGACGAGCCGCTTTCACCTGCCCTGCCCAGTACAGGTGCCAAGCGGTCAGTCAACGTCGCATTCTCACCTGAATCGGTGCATGTTGCACCTCCCGCGAAACGTGGGACCGCATGGACCGCCATGTCAAATGGACACCGATTCGACCCACCTCTCCAACTTCCACCTCTTGTCATCCCTGGCGAACCTACTCTTCATAGAGAGCCAACGCAACATACTCTACAGCCGCTGCGCGTTCCCGCATATTCCAGGCATCCTTCCGCCCACCGCAACACGATACCAGCGCCCACCGCGCAATCCGTTATACCCGATGTTCCATTCACGTACTGTATGCCCGTCCCATCAATACCCCCCATCGTGCCTCCCGTTATACCGCCTGGACCAGCTGCACAACATATGCAGCCACCGCAGGTACAACACGCAAATGGGACGTATGTTCCGTGCCCCTTCAGTTGAGACGCTGGCCGCTCCATACCAGCTGCATTCCCGTCTGCCTAACTTTTCTCGACCTCACGTGAGTATTTGACCCACTGATCACAAGATCATGTATTGATTTCAAATTTAGGACCTTTACTATTATTCCCTTGCCGCTTCGCCTCTTGAAGTTCCAATTGATCAAAAACCGCCTCGCAAAGCGGTGTTACGGTACCACCACCCCGCCTACGAAGGGGCCCCTCTTCCCAGCATTCAGCAGCCCGTCATGTTCGCACCAGCCCAGCAACAGCCCAACGGTGCACTTGTTCTGCCCCCTCCACTGCCAGATCAACCTCGTGCACGCTCTATGGTCTATTCCCGGGCCAATGCGCAGATCGCTCCGTTCGCCAACGCCGGTTCTCCGGGTGTATACTGGACCGGTGCGCGAAGGCCATGGCAGCAGGAACCGACTCCGCCTTCTAGACCGCCTTCGACGCACTAGCGGCCAAAACTGCAGAAGAACATCAAGTTGCCATGATCGGAAACCTCGTGCCACTTCTGTAATTCATGTGTCGCCTTGCTCTCTCAAGCGTCCGCTGATGCTCCAACCGTCAAGGAAGAGTCTCTGCATGCCTATCATGTTCCTATCCCTTCACGCATATTGCTCTGCCTAATCCTTCCTGCAAATGGTTTCTCGTCTTTTCCTCCGTACCCGATAGGGTAGCAGATTACGCCGGTCCATCCTGATGATTCAAACTTGTGCACCCTTTCCCTGATCCTTACCTCCCCTTCACGCACGCTCTGATCGCATCATGTTTTCCATTCACTCTTCCCCCTTACAACTGCATCAATTCGTACAATAAGCAAATCACGTTCTCGGCCGCCCATCGCTTTTACCTATTCTAGATTGCATGTGTCAGTAACCATGACTTCTCCCACTGTAGCTCCTCCTTTCTCGAAGTAGACATAGCAATCGGCCTAATCACGCCGAAACGGTTATAATCAAATATGAGACAATGATCAAAACCAATCAATGGTCCTCATGACATTGCACCCCTGAGCAGATTGACCGGTCCTCGGCGATGATATTGACTAATAATCTGAGGTGGGCATATGGAACCCCTTTGTGTAAAGACTCTATCTACTATCCCCCAGCGGAAAAGCGATGCCACGTCGTTCCACATGCCACATCCGGCGTTGCGCCTTCTATTGGACAAACTCAGTCACATTCTGATGCTTAATCGTAACGGTAATAAATCGTGTTTCTCGGCTCATCCGAATCAGACGGCCCCGGCAAAGACAGGCGATAATAACGTTGCATTTTCGACAGAAAAGAAACATTACACATTGTTTCCAAGGCTTGTTACGTTTTGATTTGATTTGGCCTTGTCTCACCACTGACCGCACCCGCACCACCGCGGTGCGGGTGTCGGTGGAAGGATGACTAGCTTCCGGTTACGGGGGCCTGGAAGAAACAACATGAAAAGTCACATTCCATTCATTACCGATTCAGGGAATGGGCCACACAAAACGCATCCAGCTTGGGGACACCGTCTCATGTGTCGCGGGTTCTAAACGGCAAATCTGGGCGCAGAGGGTTCGCCTTCTATGGTCGCACGGCCACCCTAAGGGGTCCCGAAGAGCCGTCCAAGCCGGCGTTGTGACCCCAATATGCAACTTTTGTCATTCCCTATCGGCCGTTAACACATACTGTCCCCGCTGTCAGCGGCGAACGGTGGAGGATCCTTCCAGATCTCCTCGACTGAAGGAAGGAATGAAAATATAGGGTGCAACCATTGGGGTACGAGGCGCGAATTCAATCGTCAGGGGTAACAAGAATGAGTAGTGCTACTGATACATTGTTAGTATCATGATTGGCATGAGCTAGGGCGACACCGTACGTCCACCGTGTCCTGCCGCGCCTACTGTTTTTTCTTGATTCAACTCTTTCGTCTTTGGCTTGAGAAGTCTCCGACCCGTCGGCCTAGTGATCGCCTCGTGTCGTCGCGTATGGATCGCGGAGTTCTTCCTGACCACCAAATCCGCCCTCGAAATCTAGACCAGTCTCTCTTTTCAAGGCAGCGTTCCGTGCTTCGTTCGTCATCACTGCAAGTTTGCTATCCATGAAGGCTTGCGTCCATAAGTACCCGGAAAGCGCGCCGGTTACTGATCGAACGTAGTTGTCGTAAGTAACGAGGGTAGCCGCAATGCATACGCAAGCATCGTGTGATTTCGGGAATACGAAACCAGTCCAAGAAGATAACCGAGAGACGCAGTTAGTTCATATTGTCGTGATGATCGAACCTACCGCGACGCACGGCAATGCACGCAGACGATCCGGTGTACCTGATGCGGTAAGACACTCACACAAACCCGAGAAAAGCGTTAACTTGCGATTGAATCGGAACATCTGTGCAGAGATGATCGCTAGGCACGGCCGAAACAAGAATGTCAATACGCAATCCTTTCGCCTCAGGGTTGCATGTCGGAACAGCCCACCGTCACCTCGGAACGGGTAGAACCGCCAGATCCCAAGTGTCGGCGGGCCGTTTCCTATAGCTTTTACCCCATCAAAGAGAATTCACTCACCGGCGACGAGGCCTGAAGCCATACCGGCAAAAACACCATCCCGTTTCGATTCCTTTGGGAAAGTGAAGTCAGATTCGCACGTCAATGATGGGACAGATGGTTGCCAGCTCACTCGATTTGCAACAGCCACTTGGACCTGTGTTAGTAACGGATGATCTGGACGCGTTGATTTCGACATCGGTGTAACGGCCGCTGGTGGAGTATGTTTAAGATTGTAAAGCTCCTGAGAATCGTTTTGCTTCCAGTCAACGTAATCGAAAGAATAACAACTGCCTCCGCGCGTCATGTGCAACCCCGCGGTGTTCCGTTTCCGGAACTCTTCAGTTATGCCCGACCAATAATATTAATCTTCGGAGCCATTAATATTTCAGTAACGGCGCTTATCTCACCTGTCAATCCCCCGAATGACCATTTGTTTGGCGATGCATGTGGTTGCCGATTACTTTGGACACTTCAAAAGATGTACCATAGTCAATGTCTTGAATAACATTAAGCATCGCACTCTGCAACAAAGAGAAAAGTATTCCGGTGCGCCTTCGTAACAAAAAGTGGAGCAGAGATATGTTTACGTGAAGAGCACCAGACCGCAACATCGACCATGTAGACTTGTCGAATCTAACACCACTTGTATACATATCCCAGACTCTGATTCGCTTGTTCCAAACCAAATACAAGAAGAGCTTTAGACGTGTTCCCTTGTAAGACGTCCTCTTCAAGGGGGACCGGTAATCTGCATGTGGCCTACCTTGTTCTTCGATCGGGTTTCTCCCATGCCTTAAAAATCAACCCCTGCAACCAAACGAGTAGCCTCCCCTTGATTGCTACACGAATATACACTGCAGAGAAAAACAGGATGGTTTTCTATGATTGCCGGTTACTCCATGTCAACTGGACAGTGCCACCTTGACTTGAGTATGTGCTCCATGCATAGAACAGATGCAGTGCATGAGAGAAATCATACACTGCGGGTGAGGTATTGAAACAAGACACTATCAGAAGGCCCATTCGGGTATGATAGCACCGGAACAGCTACCAGATAAAATTCTGTACCAAACTGAATAGACGACTGGTGTTAAATACAAAACAAAAGAATTCATCGGGGTTAAATTGCTGTATAGCAAGTGAAGGGCACGGTGTGTACAGCTTTACCCTTTGCCGCGGCATTGACTCTGCGGAGAATCTATTTCCTACTAGCTAATTACGGAGAATACAAAGTATCTGGGCGGTCTTGGGTTGGCATTTCATTGCTTCACTACTAATCAATGAGCCAAATATTGTAATGGCCGCTTGGTGGCGGATAGGGTGAAGCGATCCATTTCATTACAAATGCTACACGTCGGGGAGGAAGATCACTAACGTACGAGTACAGCAACGCTCTCGACATGGCCAGTCTGCGGGAACAAGTCAAACCCTCTCAAGCTGACGATCCCATACGCTCCATTCTCCGGCGTCCTACCCTCCTCCTCCTGTGTCCGGAGCAGCCAGCCGAGGTCCCTCGCTTGAGTGTGTACATTACAGCTTACATAGACGATGACTTTAGGGCGGAAATTAAGCAACTGCCTGAGGAAGGGCTCGTCACAGCCTTTTCGTGGGGGATCGATCACCGCTGCCGTTTGGGAGGACGGGAAGTGGGAGACAGAGGCGAAGATATCGGACGCAGTGCCAGTTTGGAAGGCAAATTTGTCTGACGGGAGGTCATTAAGAGCGAGATTGCGAACGGCTGAGGAGATAGAATGAACGGAGATGTCGATGCCAGAGATCTTCTCAAAAGAGGAGGAAAGCATGAGCGAGAATAGCCCACTTCCACTGCGAGATTTCAGTCCTTGTGGGATGAATTGACTCGGACTGCAAATGCTCACCAGTACGCGTCTACAAGATGTGTCGGATGGGCCTGCCCTTGCCCCACCGTCGCGCTCTCAATAGCAGTCTTGACATGGTCTGTCAAGGGGACAAGTACAGAGCTGTTATTTTGGAAGAAGGCACTTGCGGGGAAGGAAAACAAATATGGACCAACCCGGTCGTAGATCGTCGCCGCCGTGGAGGTGACGCAGATGTGTCGTTCCTTGCCATCGTCTGTGCATGTGGCCGGACCGTCTGGCTTGGAAGAGGGAGGTGCAGCGTCAACGCCGTCAGCGATAGAAGCCTTCCCGCCAGCATCGGCATTGCTAACAGTCCCTTCGTTTTCCACGGCCGGCGCTCCAACGGTTCGCCCTATGCGCCCAACAATAGCTGATGGCCCTACCGCTGAGGAATCCACAGTGTAATCGTCGCGAACTTCTGTAGCTGCATCTTTGAAAGGATTCGCAGGCTCATAAAGGATCGAGTCCCGGATGAGCATCGTTGCGCCTCGAGTGTAGTTTTCTATTGTCCTGGTGTCGCATCAGAGCCCACTCCGAGAGCCAGAACCAGAGATAAGGACGGACTCTTGGATTTTCTTTCTCTCCTCCTTCAGCCCTTCATTAATCACCCCAGTGGCAATGGGGCATTCCTACCACAAATCAGCTTGTTCCCAATCTAAGGAAACACATGACGGACTTCGATATCCAGCACTCGCCTCCCTTCGCCTTTTTCGTCGAACCCGATCCTTACCTCCCAGTCGCTGTTCTCCCTCGGTGCCCGGGGAGGCCGATCCTTTCCCCTCCTTCCCTGCCGCTGCCAGGGTGGTGCGTCAAAGTGGGGTGTTATCTTGGTGCGGTAGCCGTACTGCAGTGGGGAGGCGATCGTAGGAAGCACGGTAGGGACGGACGATTCGGGTAGCTCTACAGAACCATCTAAGATGATATCGACAATAGGGGAAGTGGACGCACTGGAGAAATACTTGTATGCTCGCACGACAACGTCCCGCTTAACATCAAGCTGCGTGTCGTACGCCAGCATCTGGTACTGACACCCCGCGCACTTGCCAAAGTACTTGCACTTGACAAGCGACATGTCTCTCAGTTCGGGATTAGGCTCGAGCACCTGGATATAGTCAGTAAGCTTCTGCATCGGAACAGGAAACATAACCAACTTCAAGTAGCTTCGCCTCGGAATGTCCATGAGCTGGTCGTAGGAGTTTGACGAGGATCTTTTCGTTTGGCAACGCAAATGGAGTCACCACCACCCATGGAGGGAACCCTTCAGGCACGAGGGCCAACCCGTCACCTGCCTACCTATCAACGCACGCATTTCTTGCGAACTGAACACACACCAGTAGAAGACAGCTCCCTGACCCTCACTTCTAACTCCACACCCATCCCCGCTCCCTCGGGAGCGTCCCACCCTTCGTCCGAACCCAACACGCGCCCCTCGCTCTCCAGCAACCGCTTCACCTCCTTCTGCAAGACATCTTCCCTAGAGCCAAACTCTGGCGGTGGCGGTCGCTTGCGTTTCTTCGTCTTGTGGGCGGTGGGCACTCCTACCGCGGCTGGCACAGCAGGGGGAGGGACGGAGAACTTGGGTCGTTTGGGCGAGCTAGGCGCCGATGCTGAGGGAACAGGAGAACCACTGAGTGCGCGCTTCGACATCCTTATGTACAGAGATGGGTGGCAGGTGAAACGGAGAGAAAGATGTCCAACTCGGACAAGGTGCATTGGCCGTTCGTTCTGCTAAAAAGTGGTCAGGGTTCAACAAAAAAAGTCGAAAGTTATTGGTTGGTGGTTATACGGGCGCTTCTTGACGCACGATGAAGACCAGAATGATAATATGATAAACAAGCCCGAGTAACATAGATATCCCCACTGAAGGGTATAGGAATAACTAACCCAACCACCAATCTCCAGGACAACAAACCCCCTCAAGTGAGCCCCACCTCGCCCTCGTCCTCAAACCTCTTCCCATCGACAGACTTCAGTCTCGGACACCTCACCCTCAGTTCGGAGAGTACGAGCTCGCTCTGGTCTTTGGGGAGTTTGAGGGAGAAGCCGTAGAGGGACTCGAGAGAGGGGAAGGAGGAGATGGCGTAGATCCAATTTTCCTGGGTTTCATAAGCTTGCAGGGCGCAGGGCGTGAGAGGGAAGAGGAAGGGGTGGAAGGGTGGAAGGACGGACGTACGATCGCTTCCTCGCTCTCGTGTAGAGGGTGAACGGCCACGTCCGTCACTTGCGGCAACGCCGGTCCAAGCAAAGCGACTGCCGTAGCTGCCCTAGCGCCCATACTCCTCGCCGCGATCTCCACCCTGCGGAGAGTCGCCAACCCCCGTACAGCACGGCAGAAAGTGAGTGCGATCGTACTCTGCTGTATGCTCGCTAGGAAGGGGTCTACCCAGATCCTCAGCTCGCGTAATGGCCGCCTGCGCCCGTCTGAGAGAGGACAGACGAGCTCGAGGTACGCCTCCACACGGGCGCAGCGCATCCTCAGGCTCCTGATGTTGGGGAGAACGTCAGGCAGGAAAGCGCGAGGTATGACACTGAGCGGAGACTCGTCCCATAATACGACGTTCTCGAGCTGGGAATGGGCGTAGAGGAAGTCCGGGGTGAGCTCGTGGCAGGCCACACGGTCTAGCGTGAGGGTTTGAAGGTGCGGCATTCGGGTTTCCCAGAACGGGGTGAGCGAGACTGGCAGCGTGGTAGGCGCGTCGTATTGTGAGATATGGAGGCGGATGAGACGAGGACAGCGGGAGAGGACCTTGGCGAGGGAGAGGAGGAGGCCGCCTGGGCTGGTGTAAGCGGGGCTAAGGGTGCGAGGGGGAAAATGCAAATGCACCTCCGTCGCTGACCATGGAGGAGCATGTCCAGGTGAAACTCGTATACCCTCCAAGATGCTGCGTGACCTGCGTATACGTAGTCAGCAACCGGGAAATCCTCAAACCGAACGTCACTCGTGCTCACCCGCCGTTCGGGCTCGGTGTTGTGGATATCCTGCAGTTGGACACCGACGATGCTCATCTGGGATATCTCGGGACACGCGCCTCTCAAGCGCTCAAAGAACCCCGCCAGCCCAGTAATATTAAAGCAAGCGACGACGACGCTTTTCAAGCTGGTGAAATAGGGCGCTACACGTGTAGCAGCAGCGATCTGCTCTGCGGACCAAGTACGGTCTGGTTTCCCTCCTCCGGCAAGCAGGGGGGGGATGGGGTTCTCCAGCACCTCTAGTCTTCGGACGAGGAGTGCTCGCCGAGGAACTGAACTGAGCTCGTCCCACTTGGAGATATCACCGCAGGGGATAACGAGCCGCTGGTACTGGACCTGATCTGGCCAGAGAGTGGCTCGCCAGGTCCGGTTCAGCATCGTTAGTGCGATGAGGTCCCGCTTTGTAGTCGTTTCGAGGGCGATGCGGTCCATTATCTCCGGGGGTAGCTGTGCGGCTACGGACATGTTGTCCTTGTACTAGAGTTGAAAAATAGAGAAGCAAGTGCAAGAGTGCAGAGTGCGAAAGTGCAAGAGAAGAAGAGAAAATCAAAAGAGAGGATAAGTTAGAGTTGAGTTGATATTTGATGCACACAAGTTGCCTCATGTTCGACGCGTCCACGCTCAAGGGTCCAAGGGTCCTGACCCCGGAGCCGACCAACCACACACGAATATTAATATTATATCCGGTTCACGCCACTCAGTTCCCCAGCGCTCATCTTCGACCTGCACGACCACCTTCTATCCTCTTACACTTGTACTTACGACTGCGATGGGTAATGACGGCGGCTCGATACCTGACAGGCGCGACTTAGTGCGCACGAAACGGAAGGCTGAGCAAGCGGATAAACAGAACCAGTCTAGAGCCCAATGGTTCTTCTGTGCATTGTCCAAGGTTTGCCTTTTCCCACTCCCACAATCCGGCTGACTCACCTCCTCATCCTCACCTTCACCCTCTAGAAACCGCTCCAGAAACCGATCGTAGCCGACGAACTAGGGAAGATGTACAACAAAGACTCGCTAGTCGAGTACCTGCTCGATCACTCCGCATACGGCGACGGCTTGCAGATCTGCGGGCACATCCGTTCGCTGAAAGACGTTCGCACGCTTGAGCTTACCTCTAACCCGCTCCCTCTGCCTACCGGGTCGGACCTGCCCTTTGCGCCGTTCGTGTGCCCGTTGACGGGGAAGGAGATGCTTGGTGTGATCCCGTTTGTGGTTTTGTGGAGCTGTGGATGTGTGTTTTCCCGCTCGGGGCTGAGGGCGCTTGCTACTCCTGTGGAGGGGGGGAAGGGGAGCGACGACTCTCGGGGAAGCGGGAGCGGCAGTGGGAGCGGGAGCGAGAAAGAGAACGAGAACGAGAAGGATACCAAGGATAGCGAGAAGGAGACGGAAAAGGAGGCTCAAACAGAAAAACCCCTCGCCTGCCCACAATGCGGCAAGCCCTACCTCTCATCCCAAATCATACCTCTCAACCCCCCTCCGTCCGAGTCCGCCCATCTCCTCTCCCTCCTCCTAGCGCGCCGCGCATCCGAGCCCAAATCCAAGAAACGCAAACTCCCCCCCTCCTCCGGGGAACCAGAGTCCAAAAAGCCAAAGGCGAAGGCAAAGGCAACTAAACCTGTGCCAGTACAGGGACCTTCTGTGGCCAGCAACGCTGTTGCTCACTTGCTCAAGGAGGAAGAAAAGAAGCGACTCAAGAATGGGATGAGCGAGGCTGTTAAGAGCCTTTATAAGCCTGATAGTGGGAGGGAGAAGGAGACGTTTTTGACTATGGGGACGTTTACTAGGGTGAGTGCTTGAGGTTCGTTTGCGGAGCTTGGACTGATTGGGTGTAGTATGCTTAGGGATTGCGAGTGGGAGTGGGATTGCACTTGGTTGTGCGAGTCGGCTGATGTTGTATAACATGACTGTACGAATATGCATTATCCTGCAATATATGCTGCAGTGCTGCGCATGCTGCCCTGCACCCGAAGACAACCGCGTAAGAACAGAACACGCTCTTGCCGTCGGCTACCCTTGACCCATATTCGTACATATGCATCTCATCCAGTCGCAGTCGCGTGCACGCTTACTCCTGAGCGCTTGGACATGCGCCCGCTAGGAAAGGGAGGGATGGTGATCGCATGAGGAAACGCCCAGTTGGGCGCGTGATGCTAGACGACGATGCATGATGGATAGTATAATTCTAGGGTATGCTGTAAATTGTCGCTTCTATGACAATATGATTTATTCTGTCGTGTGCCGGTGGGCCGAGTGAACTGTACAGTACCAAAGGGAGTGAATGTAGAATGGAGTAATAGTAGTAGTAATTCGTGTGTTATTCTTATAGTGCTGTAATAATTGACCCTGAAAGCTGTACATTTTATATGAGAAATGTACGCAATATGTGATGAGTCAGAGCGGGGGAAGGAGAGAAGGAAGGAGAGAAGGAAGGGGAGGAGGAGGGGAATGGGATATTCAATGTTAACGTTTCATCAGAAATTGTGGATATATGGCATAGTGACGATGTACAAGTGATGATAATGCCTCTCTCACTCTCACTCTCATCGTCAATGTTATCCATTCATTCACAATTAAAGAGTAATATTCATTTCATTATCACTCTCACTCACTCACATAAACACAGTACTCCCTTCATACCCAAAATTACACCCTTCAACAACGTACATCGCAAACACAGAACATCAACTAGCACTCTCAGATCACTTCACTCATCATCCACCAACAATCCCACAGTCAACACACCCACATCTACAATCCCTCCTCGCTCTCTCTCTCACAATAGACAGCCCTTCACCTTTAGACGCTCTACATCACTTGGATACCGCTCCCAGAGGTGAATGGGCTTGGAAAGCCGCATACATCAAGGCTCGCCTCTACGAAGCAGAGTACGACAGGAGCGGGACGAGTGATGCTCTCAGAGACGCCCATGCCTGGTATGCAGAAGCCGCTGCTCTCGCCCCCCATCCTTCCCCTCCTCCTCCTCCTGCTGGCGGCATCCGATGGACCGACGAGCTGCTAGCCCATTCCACAAGAGTCAAAGCCACCTTCTTTACCCACTTTGGCTGCGCCCACCTCCCCTTTCCAGAAATCGACGCCCTCGAACACGCTGCCTCCCGCCTGCCGAGCACAGAGCCGCTCAAGGCGTATGCGCTGTACGCCCTCTCAGGCGCGTACAGAGCTAGGTGGTACCTCCTCGGCCACCCTTCTTCGACACACGACCTAGAGAGGGGCATCGCCTGCGGGAGAGAGGCGCTCCTCCTCTGTCCTACGCACAGGCACCGCCGGCGTATGCTAGCAGAACTCGGCGCGCTCATAAGAGAAGGCAGGCCATCCCCAAACTTCCACGAAAGTCTTTCCCTCCTCACCCGCGCGATCGCCCTCATCCCACCTTCGCCGAGCACGAGCTGGTCAGACCTGCAGATCATCCGCGCCCTCGGAACGCAGTATTTGGGCATGTTCGTTGCCCAAGGCAGGATGGAAGATGTCGACAACGCCGTGCTCTGTCAACGGCGTGCTCTCTCCTCCTCCCCATCCTCGTCCTCTGCCCGCCCGCACCTCCTCGTCTCGCTAGCCATGTGCCTCAAGCACCGGTTTCGCGCCACAGGCCGACCAGCAGACATAGACGGTGCGATCGAAGCGAGTACCCAAGCGCTCTCTAGCTCAGCAGGCGACGGGCCGCTGAGCGTCTTCGCCCATGCGCATCTGGGACTCGCACACGCATACCGCTTCATATACTTTGCAGAGCCGGAGGACTTTAGTATCGCCCAACGCGAACTGGAGCGGGCGATCGCCGCTGGCCGGCAGAGGAGGTTTATGGCCCCCCAACTTGCGCGTTGCTTGCGTACCCTGGCGCATATATACAGGGTGGGGGTGGAGAGAGGGAGGACGGAACTCGTCCAGGCTATGAACGATTTTCTCGAAGAGGCGGTAGGACTCGCTAGGGAGACGGGCCTGTTGGAGACTCCGAGCATATGTTCTGAGCTCGCCCTGGCTAAAGGGCTGCGATATACGGTCCACGCCCGGCCCTCCGACTTGGAAGAGTGTATCACCGCACATGAGCAAGTCCTAGGTTCTACATCCCCCAACTACGCAGAACGCCATCTCATGCTCTGGCAGTACGGACTGGCGCTGCAAACGAAATTCGACTTGGACAACTCGGTACCTACGATGCTCAAGTGTCTCTCCGCGTTCAGGGAAGCGGTTTCCAAGCTGGGAAGTCTGGGAGACCCGAGGCGCACGTTTTACCTTATGGACCTCGCGAGTTCGCTCGTGAGGAAATTCGAGGTCTTTGGGGATGAGCAGGATCTAGACTGTGCGCTGGAGCAGTATGCCCTTGCTGCTAAGGTCGAAGACGGGCCTGTCAAGGTTCGCTTTAGAGCGGCAGTGTTGGGCGCCAGGCTGGCATATGATAATGGCCAAAAGGAGCGGTCTTTGGACCTCTTCCGCGCTGCTGTGGGCCTCTTACCACGCATGGCTTGGTTAGGCCTGAACACGACGAAACGGCATAGGAACCTTATGTCAGAAGCGTTCCAGCTCGCAGCTGACGCCGCTGCAGTCGCTGTCTCACTCTCCTTGCCCAAAGTCGCTATCGAGCTACTTGAAGAAGGCCGATCTGTGCTCTGGCGCTCCGTACTCCAAGTGAGGGTCGACCTCGCCCCTCTCGAAGCGGCGAAGCCCGAGCTAGCGCGAGAGCTGCGGCTGCTTGCACGTACACTCGATTTGGAAGACTTTGACCTCTCTGGGTTCTCGGAGTGGTATTTGGAACAAAATGCCCAGATGAGGCGGAGGCAGGCAGAGCGCTGGGACGTGCTCGTCAGTGCTGTCAGGAATGTACCGGGGTTCGAAACGTTTCTTATGCCACTTGACTGGGGTCAGCTGCGTTCTGCCGCCAGGGAAGGGCCGGTGGTAATCCTTAACGCTAGCGAGTATAGGACCGACGCGCTGCTTATCCTCCCTGACCGGGCGGAGCCGGTAGTGGTACCATTGCCCGGGCTGGGGATGCCTGTCGTTAGACAGCTTATGCATATCCTCCAGTCGGCACTGGGTAGTGCGAAGGATAAATACGGCCTGTCGTTCTTGGACCGAACCCTCAAGTCTGTCGCTAGGTCCCTCTGGTTCGGAGGGCTAGAACAGGTAGCGAACACCTTGCTCGAGGCGCGGGAACGCGCACGCGCGCCTCTGCCTCGAGGTAGAAGAGTCTGGTGGACTCCTGCAGGCTTGTTCAGTTTGCTACCTATTCACTGCGCGGGACCGTATGAGGATTCGAAGCCCGGCGTGGCAGAACTATTCGTTTCCTCATACACGACAAACCTTTCCACTCTAATCAAAGCGCGCCTCCCCTCCCCCGTGCCCGCACGCACCCCCCCACTCTCAGCCCGCATCCTCGCTATCGCCCAACCCGAAGCGCCCGGTATGCCCAAGCTCCGATATGCGAAGACCGAGATCGACGTTCTACGCACATCATGTTTCAAGGACTCGGTAACCTTCCTCATAGGCAGGGAAGCGAACGTCTCCCGCGCCGAAGCAGTCTCGACCCATCCATGGCTACACTGTGTAGTTCACGGGTACTGGAACCCCGAAAGCCCGCTAGACAGTGCGATCTACCTCGCGGACGGCCCGCTAACCTTACGCCAAGTTACCCAGCTAAGCCTTTCCCGCACAGCAGGATTCGCCTTTCTCTCCGCGTGTCATACTGCCCGCGCAACGGTACACCTGCCGGACGAAGCGCTGCATATGGCCGCAGGGCTGCAGGTCGCTGGGTTCCGCGGTGTACTGGGTACGACATGGGGTATGGCGGATATGGACGGGCCGGAGCTGGCTAGGGGGTTCTATGACGGGTTGGGAGGGGAACTGAGTGCCGAGAGGGCGGCGGAGGCGTTGTCCGCTTCTTTGGAGTTGTTGAGAGGGAAAGGAGTGCCGATGCATCGCTGGGGCGCGTTTGTACATTATGGTGTGTGAGTCGTGGAACAGCAGGAAGGGAGGGAGGGAGGGAAGGGGTAATATGGTTCTTTGCATTTTGGAAACGATCTTTGTTTCTTGGTATTGACAGAAGCCTGTAATGACTATAGGATACATGTATGATGTATGTATGTATGTTCTTGTGCTGCTCAAGAGTTGTTGGTGCGAGCAGGGGCGCCGCACAAGGACGCACCCGCGAGTCACCAAGTGTTGTACGACAATATATTCCAACATTATAGTGTACATTTACAGCGCAGAAAAATCACGCCAAACCACAAAATCAGACAACATTGAACCCATATGCAAATGCCGTGTGTCACACTCCACTCCTTCCCGTACTCGTGCCCGCTCGCCCTCTTGGTATATGTCCATGCCGCATGCCAACCTCCAACGTGAACGCTCAGAGCGCGTTATCTTGGCCTCCTCTTGCCCATCTGCCGCGCCGGACCACGCATGATCACCCTATCCCCACCAGGGCCAGGACTCGCACTGCTCCTATAAGTCGGCGCCGGGGTAGGTACAGGCGAGTAAGCCCGGTCAGAGTCGAGCACTGCCATCTCCGGGTTGCCTGCTGATGGGCCGAGCTCGGAGACGGGGGGGAGGGAGCTGCTCTGACTCGGCTGGGGCTGGCTGCTGTACCCGCTTGCGCTGAGGGTCGTGCTTGTCCTTGTGCCTGCCTGGGAGGACACACTCCCCGCAGTTCCATTGCTGGAGCTGGTGAGGACGGGAAGGGGGATGTTCGTCGGCCACGTCGAGGGGCCTTGGGGGTCGTACAGCTTTAGCTGGGAGTTGTGGTTCCCGGGGGCGTTGTTAGGGATTGGGAAGCCTGGTGAGAGCGGGCTTGTGCCTGTGGGCGTGAATGGGGGTGAGGCGGGAGCAGGAGCAGCAAGGAATGCGGATTTCTCTCCTCCTGGACTGTGTGGGCCGGAATAACCTTGTCCGTTCGGGGGTGGGGTGGTGTCGTTCCCGTTCCTGGAGGAGAGGGAGGAGTAGCTCGCCGGAAGGGGGATAGCGGTCTCTGCTGCTGCTGTGCGGCGTTTGCTCCTTCTCCGGAGGAAGAGGAATACGAGGATGGCGATGAGCAGAAGGGCGATGCCGCCCAGCACGCCGCCGACTATTGCGCCGATGTTGGGTTTCGAGCTGTCGGAGGGAGGGGAGGTAGATGTCGCGGTTGCTGTGGAGGTTGTGCTGGCTGTGGAACTGGGGAAGGTATCCGGCAGCGCTGGAGCGCATTAGTGCGAGAAAGTAGGACGAGAGGAGGGAGGCATACCTGAGCCTGCTACACCCCTCGCCTCAATGGCGTTCCAGGTCCCTTCGAGGCTCGTGTCCACCTCTGCCCAAGCAGGGATACTCGTCCCTCCCGGTACAGGCCCCGGGAAACTGCCGCGCGTCATGACGCTCACGGAGCAGTTGCTTGTCCAGTCTGCCCATGCGACCCATTCCCCTCCCTGGCAGGCCGCACATGCGGAAACGAGGTTGTACACGACTGTGTTGCAGATACAGAGTGTGCCGAGGGAGGGAGAGGTCGGGCCGACATAGTGAGTCCCTGAGGGGAGGGAGGGGATGAACCATTTGTTGTTGTTGCACTGTTTGGGTCTGAACGGGGAAAGAGGGGAGGGGGAAGGGGAGGACTTACAACACCCTGCAGGCCGGCTGCAACGAGGCAAGGGGATTGGCCTTCGGCATTGCTCATCCAATCATAGGTCGATGCACATGTGGCGTTTGTCTATTAGTGAGCAATTAAACAAGGTCGGTCAGATGAATACGGCGACAAATTTGGGACGAACGGAAGTTTGGGCATTTGCACCGCCCACAAGGAGGGCGAGCACTAAGCCTAGCATCGTTTAGAGGCCAACGAGGCACAGGAGGTCGACTGGAGCTCAGCAACGTAAGAGCCGGGGTGGTCGACAATACAGTCGATGAAGAGGAGGCGCAGTAAAAGCAGGGGAAGATGGTCGAGCAGAGGCACACTGCCTCGAGGTTGCATGAATTGAGTGAGCGCTCCCTCTCCCTCTCTTCTTCTCCCTCTGCCTTGATGCCCAGTACATCATTGGCTCCGCGCCTCCGTCTATTGGGTGACAGCTCGTTCGATATCCCTCAGGGCGCACTAAGGGCGCTTGGCGTCAGCCCCTTCCTTTGCCTTTTCCGCAACTCATGCATATTCCGACTCAGAGTTCCGATACCAGCCCTTAATATCCGCTAGATGCCTTCAAAGTGTCATTATATAGGTCGGATAATCCAGGTGTACAACACGATCGGCCATAGTGAGTGAGTAAGCGCCGTGTCGGCTTGGTCCGGCACACATACGAGCACTGCATGTTTCGGTCAGACGGCACATATCACGCCATATGCCGCGTCTCTTGGAATAAGCTTGACTTGAGTCGGAAATTTCTGTTGGCCCAATGGTCTTGGCAATAATTATCGAATAGTGAGTGCACAGTCTCGTTGGAAATCAGAATCTGGAGACTTTGACAAGAAAACATCGAAGACCAGAGAAGCGCTGTCTCTCTTGGTTCAAAATTTTTCATTATTTCTGCTTAGATAATCCTCATCCCTGTGCTTCTTAGCTTGATCATCCAGGCACGGGCGATCAATACAAACTTGTGAGCTAATAATACGACCGTACAGCTTTTATTCTGGACTGTGGGATGCTTTTGTTTGGTGGTTATAGATAACTGTCGGGATGGTGACCGGAAGCAGGTTGCGGCTCACTCGGAAACTTGTACTCCTCGAGCTCTCTCTACATTCAGCTGCAAAGCTTCCATCTTCTCACAAACACATATTTTCTAAATAGCTTCGCTCGGAATAATCCCTATTAATATCCTCGATCATCATCGCTCTAGATCTCCAGGGTTACATGCTGTTACATTACTCTGCATTGGGGCGTACGGGAAACATGTCGCAGCTACCCGTGGGGTTGCTTCTCCTCCCTGTCTATTTGTACCGCTCCTACTCTGTATTTGTGCTACATAGGACGATCGTCTACTCAATTTGGAAAGTACTGGCGGCCGGTCGCCTTAGCCACGCACTCAATTGAGCATGTCTGTGTCTATTCATTTCGACGTGCTGCACAGCAGACGGCAATGCAGATAGGTAACCGGCTTTCATGAGCGACTCGTCGAGCATATATAACGAGCCAGTCTGTGGTCGTAGTCTCTTATATCCATCCACTAAGTTCAGGTGCTGGTTCACCCGAACGTTTGCTTATTACGCTCCATCGCTCTCTGCTCTTTAACACCTCCTGCTGGCCAGGGCTTACGACCAACCTCGATACTCATACGACACTTCATTACTAAATATTCATACGACACTTCATTACTCGATACTCATACGACCTTGATCAATCTTCAAGCCTTACATTCGGCCCCCGACATGCAGATCACCAACGCCATCGTTCTAGCCGTCCTTACCGCCGGGATCATAGCGGCCCCGCTCACCCATTACCCGGGCGACAATCGCGTTGTGGACCCATACATGGCACAGCCCGAGGAAGGGATGGGCAATGGCGCTCAGGATAACAGCTCGCAGCTCCATTGTGAGTGCGAGCATGACCTCAAGGAAAGTCCGTCAAACCCAACGACATCCGCACATCTCCCGCTGTCGTTTGGTGTGCTGCGCGACATGCTCATGGCGGAGAAGGTGGTCGATGTGTTCGGGGAGGAGATGGGCACATCGTTTCTTCAAGGTTTACATGCTGGCCAGATGGCGGGTTCTACGCAACTGGATTTTGATCGGCCTCACCACATCGAGCTGGTCATGTTCGAACAATATCCTCATCACCGATTCAGGCATCACAGACACCACAGTCGCTTTGGGCGACTGGGATATTTCGGACATCATCATGATCGCAGAGAGAGACTCTTGCGCCTGATTAGGGCGCACTCCTTTTCAGAGCCCTCTCTGTCTGAGGAGACAGCGACAGCGATACCTCCTTGGGACGAGGCCGCAACTGTCCACACGTCCGAGGATGAGGCTGCTGCTGGGCAAAATCCTGCAAATGCAGCCGTCGATGCTCCGCGTGGCAACCCCGCTGCCGAAACGGCTGTGTCGTTGGCTCCACGGGACAACACCGAGGCCCCGACCACGCAGCCGGTGGCCCCGCCGCCGTACACCCCGGTGGCCCCGCCGCCGTACACCCTGGTGGCCCCGCCGCCGTACACCCGGGTGGCCCCGCCGCCGTACACCCGGGTGGCCCCGCCGGCGTTCACCGCGCCGCGGTCCTCGCCTAGGCTCGTTTATGGTCCCTCCCATGGGGTCCCCAGCCACGACCCGCAGCACCAGACCTCGGCGCACCAGACCTCGGCGAGCAGCCTCCCGTGAGCCGGACTAGTGTAAAGACGCACAAGTGAGGTCAGGTATGACCGTGCCGATTCTTCACATGCTGGAGACTCTGAAATGTCGATTGCCTGCGGCTCCTGGCACACTGTATCTCTCGAGAAGGATGGATGAATTCGGGCCATGTGTTGATATCTTAGTTGTGATCAAGTGCCGAGATGTATTATTAACGAGTGAAGATTAATCTATGAGTTTTCGAGCTATGTAAGAGCATCGATCAAGTTTGTGCAACAGCCACGAGATGAGAGTCGAACACATTAGGTGTCACGCGATATAAGGGCAGTTGCATGGTCAGGGATTCCAATGCACTTGTCATTCTTTCCCCCTCACTAAGCTCATGCCTCACAGGCGACGATCACGCCAGGAAATTCGCGGATATTCTGTTTGATAGGAACAGAGAGAGCGTGCGTGGGCTGAGAAATGAGATGCTGGGCTGCAGATCCATTGTGAAATTTCGGGTACGCAACACTATGTACGATTGGAAATCCTTCATTCACGTCCCCAGGTCGTTGTCTCGCTGGTGACAAGGCCTTCGATACCTGAAAGATGGTCCATGCGAGCCATATCGATTTCGCACTTTTGTCCTCGAGTGGAGGTGTCTGTCGCACATCCGGCGGTATGGAACAAGGCCAATGCTGCCGATACCCCGTTGGTGAAGGGCCCCACTGAGGCCAGGGGGGACAACTCGGGCTCAGAGCGGATTGACTGGTTGAATCGTGCGATTCTAGGCTCTCTTGGCTTTGGTATCCGTTCCACCACAACTCTGCTTGAGCAGGTCGTATACAGCGATAAATTGGAAGACATCGAAAGGGCGTATGCAAGCTTACGGGATGCGTCTTGACGCATCATCTCCGGGGCAGAGTTTGATCTCGCTCATGCTAGGCTCGAGCCCACCCCTAGTCACCGAGTGGCCCTCGTCCTTCGAGTACGGATTGAACTTGCCCGAGTTGGGCTGCTCGGGGCCGAGCGGCTCATGGCCCAAATGGACGGGGATATCACTCATCTCTGGCTGCCAGTTCTCTTGCCCCTCAGTTTTAGACTTCACGCCACTTACATACTTTCTGCTCAAGCTCAATCGCACAGCCGATGCTATCCATCTCCTCTCTCGGTATGCACGAGGTGAAGGTACGACCACGAATTTTGACGCTTTGCGCAAAGCCGCCGTTGCGCTCAGTCCGTGGAAGATGATCTTCCGCAAACTATTCGTTTCCCAAGCTGCGCCTGCCGATATTATCAAGACACTCGTTCTTGCTGCCGACTTGCAAGTACCCCGACTCGACGTGCTTTGCGAGAAGGTCATGCACCACTTCCTCCAGTGCAATCCCAAGCCGACCAGCGACTTCGAGCTCTGCTGGAAGCTCATGACCCAGTAAGAAACTGAATATAGCAATATCAGCTACAGCTTAATTATCTGGTGGAAACTCAATCAAGGATCGACGGAGGATCTCCCTGGCATGATAAGATAAATCAGAAACCACTGCCCAAAATGTGTTTGTGATGTATGAAGCTGGCGACAAGAACCTATCTGCGGTCCGGTCTCTCTTGTGGCAGATGTTCAGAGATGGACAGATGCTGTACCAGCACACATTACAAGCTATCAATCATATTGCTCCTTTGGACACGTCTCCTGATGTGGTCGACCCTCATTCACAAACCACAACCACGGGTCCGTGGTCTGCAGAAATCATGTTCTGGCTGAAGATTTTTCAGTGTTTGTACGACAACACACTCTCGCAAGATGACCAAATCGACAAAGCATTTCGTACTTTCGCTCAAGCCAAGCCGCATATGGAACCACCTTGGATCTTCCCACTTCTGCTGCCAATCATCGTCAACTTGAACTGAATTGTGGAACTCAACATATCGCAAATCCAGTCCCCGCGACTAAAAGACCATGTTACCGCTGTTTACGACGCCATTGTTTGGCCAAAGGATCATTTGACCCAACCGGGACGTTTCGCACTGGAGAGAATGCTTTTCCTCCTCGCAGAAGTAGGTGATAGAAAGCGATTGGCGGTGCTTTGTGTCCAGGCCCGGATTCTTGGCCTATCCCTGCCCAGTGAAATCATTACCAATGCTCTTCTCCATAGCGATTCGAAGCGGTATTCATTGGGCCGATGCCGGCGCTTGTTTTTGGTCTCTTCAACTTCTGCGCCGCAATAATTACGGTTCTTTGGGCCCCATGGGGACCATCCTGCGACTGCCGGCTCATGATGGCCAATATTATCCCTCGGCAGAGTTTTTTCTAGCAAGTCCGCCCAACAGAGCGAAGACGCAGATCGATGATGCACCAGGACAGATTGCCACAATTCAAGCACAGAGGAGCGTGCATTAGCTCCGCCTCGACCGCGCTCGTTCCCAATACCCAGTATCTACAACGGATAAGTCCTCGGACATGGCATGTCTGCCTTTCAGCAAGATTACGGCGGAACGTTTAGGAAGGTTAAAATACAGACCACGGTTGAACGGTCGTGGTTTCTTTCATATCAACACGCTGTGCAGGGCCGAGAAGTTGTCATTGGGTATCACTGGAGAATCTGTATCAACCCCTCACCCCAGTGAACATGGAACGGTGTTGAGATGAAAGATGAAGGCGTATATAGAATGAATGTAATGGAATCGTGTATCGTAGGCCAAGTGTCCGCAACTTGCACAGTAGTATTCCAGCTGATGGACATGCTCGACTCATCTCAAGACGACAGAAGCAAACAATGAGCATGCATGCACATTGTATGGGTAATCGTGAGTGTCTAAGTGAGCCATACAATACTTCGCCATATTCAAAACCCTCTTTCCCGTCTGTCAATCAAACGTGATCTTCTTCGGTTTTGCATCCATCGGGATATCGTCCCTATAAAATGCGCCATACACCGAATGTTCCTTCTTCCGGATCGTATTGGGGAACTTTGACATCTCGGCGGGTACCTCGCACCCCGCGTCGCGCAGGACACGCATGAGTTCACCCGCGAGGGCTTTTTCGTGCGCCTCTCCGGTGAAGAACGTGATCGATTTGCCCGAGGCGCCCCCACGACCTGTCCGGCCAATTCGGTGGATGTAGTCCTCTGTGTTCATGTTAGTATGAAGTGACTTGCGTGAGGAGGGTGGAAGACGCACCGATTGTCAGCGGGAAACTGTAGTTAAGCACAGTGCCCACGGCGGGGATGTCCAGCCCTCGTGCAGCCACGTCTGTAGCGACAAGGAGCTTGACTCTTCCCTGCTTGAACTCGTCCAGCGCTGCTATCCGCGCTTGTTGGCCCATATCCCCATGTATAGCAGCTACATGGTAGCCCATGCGAGAAAGAGACTGCTCAACCCTCGTGGCTTCCTTCTTATAAAGGACGAAAATGAGGGTGCGTTCCTGTTCCGCTTTCTTGCCGCCTTGTCGGGAATGATTCAGCGATTGGAGAAGAGAGCGCAGGCGTGCGTCTTTGTCGTACGAGCTTGAGAGCACTTCGACGGACTGGGCTACACGTTTGTTAGCGCTTAGGTCTTCGGCACCCACTGTGATCCTAAACGGATCACGCTGGAAAGACGCTGCGAGCCTGCGAACAGATTCGGGCCACGTAGCCGAGACTGGCAGGAGTCAGCGTTGTCCTTGGGAAGGTGAAGCTGAAGATGCTCACACATGGCTGTTTGCCTCCCTTCTCTTTTGGTCAGACCTACGATCTCCCTGATATCAGGCTCGAATCCCCTATCGAGCATCCGGTCCGCCTCATCGAGCACTAGGTACCCCACGCCACTCAAATCGAGCTCTCCAGTACGGGCAAAGTCGAGGACCCGTCCGGGGGTGCCAACGACCACTGCCGCTCCCGGCTGGGCGAGCGCTTGCAGTTGAGGAGGCTTGGGTACTCCGCCATAGAGAGGGACGCTGAGTAGCTTGAATGGGGCAGAGAGGGAGGAAAGGGTATCGTGTGTCTGGAGCGCGAGTTCTCGGGTGGGGGCAACGACGAGGACTTTGATGGAGGGCTTAGACTTGCTGGGCTTTCCGGCAGGTGTGTTGGAGACAAGAGACTGGAGCGCAGGCACACCGAAGGCTAGGGTCTTCCCACTCCCAGTCTCGGCGATGCCGATCACATCCCTCCCCTCTAACAGAGCAGGCCAAGCACACGCCTGAATAGGAGTAGGCTGGGAGAACTTGAGTGACAACAGGTGCTCTAGGAGAGTGGGGTGGACCGGGAGTTGGGAGAATGTGAGCAGAGGGGAGGGAGTGGGCGAGGAGAGGTGGATGCGGTTTTGCGAGAGGTAGAGGGATATTGAGGATGGATCAGTGGGGACGGGCGTGGAGGCGAGCGTAGTAGATGTCGAGCCGGACACTGTCACGGTCGCAGTCGTCGGTGCTGTTGCACTCAAATCGATGGTACGGTCCTTCTTGCGTTTCTTCTTGGGCCGCTCCTCCTGCGGAGTGCCACTCGAGTCAACAGGGGTCGGAGCGACAGTGGTAGGCGCAGAAATGTCAGCATCGGCATCAGCATCGGCAGGCACCTTCCTCTTCTTCTTGCGCTCGTTGCTCTCCTTTGCAGTTTCCGGTTCAGCAGGGGCGGGAGCTTCTGGTGGGGCTTCACCCTCCGGAAGAGCAGCCGCTCGGGCAACCCGACGAGCCTCTTTGACCTTTTTCTTCTCTTCTTTCTTCTCTCGTTTCAACCTTGCGGCCTCTGACTCTTCAGCGTCCTTCACGTCAAGCCTCTCCAACCCATCTTCCTTCTCTGCCTTCCCACCCTCTGCCTTCCCCTGCTCGCTCAACAATGCCTCCCTCTCCTTCCTCTTCCGCTCCTTATTACCCTTCGGCAAATATTTCTCCTTGTTCTTGATCCTCTTCTGAACAGGTTTGTCCGCCGCAGCCGCTGCAGCTGCAGCACGAGCGGCCTTAGGAATCTTCACCATAAGAGATTACAAGTAAAGGGTGAGGAACTAAGCGATGCAGGAACGTAGTCGGTGCCGTCTAAAGGCACAGGGCAAGTTAGAGAAAAAAAAAGTTGTCAGGGTCTTGCTATTTACGGCACCGAAATGCGTACATAATAATATTATATAAGCCATAGTGCGGGGATCCGGCCGTGTGTTGAGACGTCACGGTCACACACCGTCTCCTCATCTCTCTCCAACGATGCTGCGAATACACGCACACATACGCAGGCGAATCTCCTCCTCCTCCCACCTTAGAGCGCTTCACCTCACCACCCCAACCCTCGTCCCACGCACCTTCAATCTCGCCGACATAGGCGAAGGCATCACAGAATGCGAGATCTTGCGCTGGCATGCTGCACCCTCACAAAGGCTGCTCCAGTTTGATCCACTCTGCGAGGTCCAAAGTGACAAGGCCAGTGTGGAAATTACCAGTCCTTGGGAGGGACGGGTCATGGAGGTTTGTGTCCAGGAGGGAGGGGTGGTCAAGGTGGGAGGGAGGCTGTGTGTGATCGATGTTGATGAGCCAGGTGTGGGGACTGAGCTGAAGTCGGATGTGGTTAAGGAATCGAAGCCACCGGTACCCACACCGGTATCAGCAGAGGAAGACCATCATTCATCAGGAGCAGCCCCAGCCACCACCTGGCCTGCCCTCCCACGCCGCCCACACCCACTCGACCCCGCCCACCCTCAGCCTCTTTTGCCCCAGCGCCAAACCTACATTCCCCGCTCCTCGCCTACCCCGCATCTTACGACCCAGAGGGAGGACATCCTCGCCCTCCCATCGGTGCGTCACTATGCCAAGGAGAAAGGGGTGGACCTTTCTCTCCTTCCCCCTGGCACAGGGCGCGGTGGCAGGACAGAGAAAGCAGATATAGACCGGTACCTCGCTACGGCCTCAGCATCTACATCAAGCGCACCAGAAGTAATGGAACAGAAAGACGAGGTCGTAAAACTTGGAAGGACGAGATGGGCGATGTACAAGAGCATGACGACCTCCCTCCAGATCCCGCATTTCGGGTTCGTTCTCCTGTTTTCCTAACCTAATACCAACCTCAGCTAACCTCTCACAGGTACTCGACCCAACTCGACCTCACAGAGCTACACCATATCCTTCCTACCCTAAACGCCTCCATTCCCTGGCAGTACCTCCCTTCCCCTCCGCCCCAGCATGCCGCCGTCTCCCCGTATGCGATATACTGTTCCCCCCCGGAACCCAGGCCGGTCGATCCCCTGGAAGAGTATGAGAGACTGACGTATTTGCCTTTCTTGGTCAAAGCTTTGGCTTATGCGATGCTGGAGTGGCCCTTGTTCAGGAGCACTGTGGCGCCCACGTCCTCTCCCGCCTCCTTGACCACATCGTCCACCACTCCGGCTTCTTCGTCCCCAACTGCAACGGACCGACCCTCCCTCCTCGTCCGACCCAACGCCGACATCTCCCTAGCCCTCTCTACCCCCACCGGTCTCTACACGCCCACGCTGTTCGCCGCCAATCAGCTCTCACCGTACGAGCTACAAGGCCGCATCACCCGCCTCGCACGGTTAGGCCGCACAGTGCCTTCCCAGCTCTCTCCCGCCGAGTTCGGGCGAGGGGGTACGATTGCGGTGAGCAACGTTGGTGCCATAGGATCCGGTAGCACCGCCCACCCGCTTCTCGTCCCCGGTATAGGGCTGGCCATCGTCGTCCTAGGCAGGGCGAAATGGGTAGACGAAGTAGACCCTTCTGGTGGTGAGCTCGGACAGGTCAGAAGGAGGCTGAAGATGGATACGAGTTGGGCCGGGGATCATCGGTTTGTGGAGGGGGCGGAGATTGCGGCTTTTGGAGAGACTTGGAGGGGGTGGATCGAGAAGCCTGGGAGGATGGTAGGGGCGGGAAGGTAAGGAGAGGTGTATATAGTATTTAGCAGAGGGGAATGAAGTGTTTTTATCATGCAGGTGAAGTCGTCGATGTACATCATGAGTGATACTTTGCTGCCACATTCGAACATCACAATCAGATCACCGCATGTCATAGGAAATATTACAACTGCTATATGAGCTTGATACGCTAGCGTAGCACCAAGTGCAATTCCTCTGCGGTGCAGTGCCGTGAAGTGATGGATGATTGACTTGCGTAATTGATTCAAACGTGGTGTTGCAGGAGTGTGGAAGTGGAGAGACATGGATGATATGGACAAATACGTAGAAGGGTAGGTTTATGTGGCCTTCTTGACTGGGGTGTCAGCCCAGATCCACTCTTGCACTTTGGACTTCGCCTCCTCAAGGTTCTCCGGCAGCCTGCAATCATCAGCACGCGCTCCAGAAGGGAAGCAAAGGGCTTACACAAACTTGGCATGCCATTTCCCTCCCCGAAACTCGAAGAACCTCGAGTTATGCGTCGCCCCCTGCTCGTCCAGCGTCCGTGCGTACTTCCGCCCATTATCTTCTACGATCGTCTTCGCCTCCTGTGCCGCGTTCTGGTCGCCTGCGCGGATCCCGCGCGTGACACCCGACCACAGCCGTCGTGATTCGTTCGGTTCTTGATGTTCTTCTGGATGACAGGTGGGCCGGGAGAGCTCCTCACTCGTGGTGGTCGCGTCGTCAAACCAGACGCGTGTTTTCCCGAACTGCTAAGGGGCGATCAGAGAATGCTAAGAAAGCAGGGGAGGCCGAACCTTGAGATCCTTATACTCGAGATGATGGCTCCACTTGCCCGAAATCTCGCCTATTGTCTCTCTGTCTTGCTGTACCTGGCCTTTCACAACATTATAAGTCCCGGAGAAGAAACCCTTCGCCCACACTGATGAACTACCGTCCATTTGTCCTGTGAGATGACACACCTTTGTCTTAAACTCTACCGACCCACTCATCCCCGTCTTCTCGTTTATCGCATCGATGGTATCCCCCAGCTCGAACACCAGCTTCCCAAACAAGATCCCCCTCGCGAACATGTTGGGCAGTGAGATGATGTACTCGCCGTCATCCGTGCCCAGCAGGGTGATCCGGTTCTCGCCGTCCATGATTGTTTGCACCGAGTTGCCTAGGAAACGCGATTTGGGACGCAGCTCGCCTACAACGAGGATCTTGTTCGCCGGGGAGAGGAAGAAGTATGCCGAGACGGGGGGATGGTGTGATACTGTGCAACGAGGCTTAGGAAAATCGAGCATGTATATAGTATCGCGCACCTTGTTCCGCAACGTAGAATCCCTCAGTGCCGTTCGTGTAGGTGTACCTGCATCGGAAGATCTCGCCTATGGTCGGGTTATACGGCTTCTTCACCCCCTTCGGCCTGATGTGCCACCCAAGCATATAATACTGCAGGACCCTCTCGAACCTCACCGCCTTATCGCTCTCGTTCTCCAATCCAAACAGGATCTCCGTATGGGTCATAAAGTCCGTGATGCGCTCGAGCATGCTACGGGGCTCGAGAACAAAGGTAGGGAAGGCGATCTTGCTCAGGTCCATCCCGATCCTCAGCTGGGAGATGAGGGAGAGAACGATCGACCCCTGCTTTTCGTCTAGCAAGGAGGTGTCGTCTGGGTCTGAACCCTCGGGTGGGCGGTCATCAGCCCCACTCCCGTTGCTGTTGGGAGTGGTGGAGCCCGAGGAGCCACTCGGCAGGCGCGCCTGGATCCCTCTGAAGATGTTCATCGGTTCGAGTAGGTGGGAAGAGCAGGTAGTGCTAGAAGTGCAAGAAGGCTAGGTATATGCACGAGAGAGAATAGCAGATGGAGGTCCAAGAGAATCAGGAATCAGGGATGCGGCGTGTGACACGACCCGATAGACGGGCACGTTTAATTTGGTCGTGCACAGGAGCAGGTGGTCAAGCGGTGCGGGTGTATGCAGCAACGGCGACACCGGAGATGATGACCCTTAGAAGGGGTTGAAGCAGGTGGTCGGAGAAGAGAGAGTTACACAGGTAGTGAAGAGTACTGAAGTGTAAATTGCCTTTCCTCCTCGCGGTGCCCGTCAAGGTACGCCATGTCCCTTAACAATCAATCATCTTCCTCATCAATGGTCTCTTTCTGTTACGGATTTGCATGTGTTATATATATATATAAAGTCAAGACTTATTATATCCGACAAACAGGACAACGACATATCAAGAGAGCAGAGCTGGTTGATATAAAACAGTGAGGGTAGCGCAAGAATGCCAAGCTGAACCAGGGTAGCGAGCGTGTGAAGAAGATAAGAAGAACAGAGAGAACCGATCAAGGAGTGGCTAAGGCTAATATGACCAGAAGGATGCGGAAGGATGAGAAAGCGGCGGTCATGACCACCACCCGTCGTCGCCTTCCGTTGGGGCAACGCTCACACTGCTTAATGCAGGCGAAGCACTGCGGTTGTTCTGCCTCATGGAGAACGACCGTGCAAAGCTCGGTGCAATGGGCACAGCCTTGGGAGTCGTCGCCCGCTCAGGTTCTGACTGCCGCGGGGCATGTATCGACGCCCAGAGGCCCTGCAGAGGCGGGCTGGTGCCGCGCGGTGTGGGCAGAGAGTCGCGTTCCGGAGGCTCGATAAAGGAGAACGCGGTGTCGTCCGATGACATGCTGGTTGATGCCCGGAAGGGGAAGGGCGCGTTCACGTATCCCGAATGGCCGTTTGCGGAAGCACGCGAAGCAGACCGAGAGAACCGGTTTTGTTCACTTGCAGAATAGAAATCTACTTTTTGCTGGAGCTGCTGCACCTCAGCCTGGAGGCTGCTTTGCTCAATCTGCGAGGAACATGTGAGCGATAGAAAACCGTGCACAATATCGACAACAACAAACCTGATATTCCGTTTCACGGCGGTCTCCATCATCCAATTGACGTCGCAACATCTGCTTCTCCGTCTCGAGCTGTCGAATGAGCTGCTCACTCGTCTCCCGTTCCGACTTGACCTGCGCGAGCTCTGTCTCAGCAGTGTGCCATTTCTTCTCCCACTCAGTCGAGCGCTGCTGGACTTGTGCAATGCTGTTCTTCGAAGTGATTGCGTTACGCTGCAGGTTGGCGAGCTTCGTTTCCTGTTCGTCGAACCGTTTCTTCAACGCTGCAAACTCTCCTTCCATCACCTTGGCACGATCGCGCTGCCGACGGAGCTCTTGCAGCTCTTCGTCATCTGCACCGCTGATCAATTTGGTCAGCTGTTCAACTTGCTGAGCCGTTCGGCGGATCTCATCCCAGTGTGTTTGTTCCGCGCGGGCTTCCTCACGGCTCTTTTCCAAGTGGGATACCTTTTCCCTGAGGACCTCTACCTCCTTAGATGCACTGGAGGCTTCCCGCTCCAATTTAGATATCTGCATTTCTTCAATACGCAACCACCAGAAAAGAAGCCTTTCACGTACCTGAGCCTTCAGACGAAGGTTGTTCTCCAGCACATCATTCTTGTCTGCCTCTACCTGAGCCACCTTCTCACGACTCGAAGCAGTCGCAGACTTCGCGGCGATCACTTCGACTTCTTTCTCGGCAACCTGCTTCTCAAGATCGTCCCGCAGCGTTTTGTTATCCAAGGCACGGATCTTCCAGCTTTCTAGCTCTATGCGCAATTCGCGGAGTTCAGAAGAGGCTGTATCTCGCTGGGACTGTGCTGACGCCACAGCACTCTCGAGGGCCACTTTTTCGCCCTGGAAAACCACAGCTGATCGCGAGGCTTCAGCCAGCTGTTGCTGCAGATCAGCGTTTTCGGTAGCGAGTTTCCCCAGATTTCGAATTTCTCCCAGCGCTTGGGCGCCTTTTGCGAGTTGTGCGCGCATCTCGTCGAGAGACTCGATGGCGACCGACAGCTGTTCGGGCATGGATCTTAGACTTGTGTGCAGTTGCTTGGTCGATTCTATGGAGGACTTGTTCTGTATGTAGAGTTCCTCTTGTTTTACGACAAGATTGTCGAACGTGCCTGCGGTGGGAACTAATTCCTTCAATGCCAGGACAGGCTGGAGATGGTCCTTTAGCTGCGGAACGATTTCCTCCAATTTCTGCTTTTCGAAAGCTCCCGCAAGTTGGGTTCGCACCACCTCGGTCAAGCCTTCTACAAGATCCTTCTTCAGTGCCTTCACATTCAACGGAGGAGGCATGAGGCGTTCCACATAGCCAGCCATTTGCTCGCTGATAGCGTTAACATCTAGGGGTGCCGGCATCATGGAAGATAAGATAGGTCCGAGGCGCTGCACAATCAGGCCAGCGGTCTCTTTCTTGTCGGATGCAAGATCAATTAGTTGTGAGATGTGTGGCTTGACGGCTTCTGACAACTGTTCGGTGAGCACGTCGACATCTAAGGGCTCAACCCGAAGGGAGGCGATTTGGGGAAGAACCATTGCCGACAGTTCAGACAGCAAGAGCTCCCGATCATCGTCAGTTCGAGCACCAGCAAGATTGTTGGAATTGCTGAGCAAGTCGCGGAAACCGGACATTGTTGATGTTATCGTCTCTTCAGTTCGGGCTAAGGCTGCCTCAAGAATAGGGGTATCATCGGAAGTTTGCTGCCACTCAGCAGGTCGTGTTGCAAGCGTCTCACGGCAGACTTCGGCAAGATCTTCCACCAAATGCTGGCGGAAGTTTTCATATTGCGCCGCCATTGTCTTTCTTAAGATCTCCAGCTGTGAATTTCCGAGATCGAGGGAGGATGACCGGGCGTGCAATCCAAGAGGCAAATTATCCTGCATGCGCGATTCGACAGCTTCGGCCACCTTCTGAACCAGGGCATCCACATCGAAAGCTGGACTATCTGTGGGTCGCGCTGGAGATGCTTGGCCAGCAAGAACACCGGTGAGTACCTCCGTCAATGTACCCATCTTCTGGGTGAGGAATGAGCTAATGCGTTCCTCGAGCTCTTCCATCTGCTCTACTGTGACAGGCGCAGAACTAGAAAGTACAGCTTGGGAATCTTGACCTGGCGAAGGTGTACGCATGTGAGGCATCGATGATGCTCGATGAACGGCATGCGAGGGAGCCACCAATCCCGCAGCATATGACATCGGCACTTGTTGTATGGCCATTTCCAGAGTACGTGACTGACCAATTGAGCTTGCTTCAACGGTTGTAGAGTCAACCAAGTTAGACACAAACAGAGCTGCATTTGAATCAGACAGCTCATCATTGAGATCGTCCTCATCGGTCAAAAAGTCTCTGCTGGAATGGACGCGTGACCGCTTGCCACGACTGTCGTTGTCCGAGCCATATGCGTTCAGAGCCTTGAATAAAGATGCTGGCACCTTGGTTGTGAAAATGGGATGATTGAATTCCGCGGCGATGGAGGCGCTATGCGGCATTCTGGGCAAAGGCTCAGGATCAGTCGCGATGGACGGCACAGGCATGAGCGCGGGGGCTGAGGCGCGTGCACTCCAATTGGGCGACTCAAAAATGAAGTCGGTGGAGATTGGTTCTAATGTCATCCGGCGGCTGAATGGGCTAGACTGCAAATGGGCCGGTGGTGGTAGTTGTGGTGGAGGAAACTGGAAGCCAGCTAGCCGCTGCCTCTTGTTGCCGTCATCGCTCTCCTCAGGCACAGATTCATTCTCCTTATCGTCATCTTCATCATCGTCTTCGGAAGACTCGGGATCTTCTTCGTCGGATTCTCCAGTCCGCCGTCTTCGTTTCTCGCGACCCTGAGCGGCCCGATCATCTTCATTTTCTGAATCTACAGAGTCTACAACCCTTGTTGATTGGTCCAGGAGATCGAAGGTGAGTGAAGGTGCCTGTGGCGGAGGTTGGAACGTGAAACCTTGGCCGGGCATGTCGATGGGTACCGAGAATGTGGGCTTAAACTCGGCTGCTTGCGCATTGAGTCGCGGAATGGAGGCTTGCTTTCCATGCATCGTGATGGATGACGGTGTGGGGTAAGGGTTTTGTTGAGCCACGCTGGGCGGCGAGCTAGGGAAGAGCGGGTTCGAGGCAAACGAGCCAGGTCGAGTATGAGAAGTCCCAAAGACGAAAGGTTTTGCATGAGGATTGAGCGCTGGGCCCGGACCACCGACGCCTCCGTCGGGGGAGAAAACAGTATTAGACGCAGATCTGGAATGTGACATGGTTATGGATGCATGAGGGGAATGGTTGATTGCAGAGTATGGTATCGGTGCGTAGGGGTTGGGGTATGAGGCGGATTGCGGCTGGGAATAGTACACGCTGGCGTGTGATTGGATGGGCTGGTCCGGGGCGATAGTGAAATTCTCAACTGCGCCGGCTTGTTCGCTAGGGTTCGAGAGGACCTCACTCGCGTCCTCCTGACTATGCTCGTTCATGCTATATGAGCGCTCGCTGCGCTGCGTCGGGAGATAGGCGGCTTCAGGCTGAGGCATTGCGATAGGCGGGTTGGGGAAGTTGGGCAGGCGACGGGGGCTGTCGTAGTCTGGCGTGGGGACAACGGTCTTAGGGTCCGAGTTGGAGCGAGTTGGGACAGACACCTGATTGGCCAGATGTTGTTGAATGCCTTGAGCCTTGAGCATACGCTTGTGAAGCCGTTCCTGACGATGGCGTTCCTCGTCAGAGGGGTTGGACCACATCGAGTCAGACTATATAGGCGTCAGTGTCTGATCCATATCACCACGTGGTAACAGCATGCGTACCGTGTCGTCCTCGTCCACATCTTCTAATTCCTCTTCACCTGTATGCGGGTCTTCGCTTGCGGTCCAGTCAGCCACAGCTTCCTCATTCTCACCCTCAGGCTCATCCGCCAACTTCGGCATATCACCACTGCCATGGACCGTGAGATCGCCGTCCACGTGCACCTCTGTCTCCTCGGCGTCGGTGAAGAACGCAGTCGCAGTAGGTCGCCTCGAATGTGAGGGCAGAGTACGCATGTCATCCTCGTCCTGCCCATCTTCGCCATCCAGGTCCCCGGCACCATCACTGAGATCCTCCCTCTCGTGATCCTCTTCCTCATCGTTGATCGCGCTCTCGAAGTCGATCTCGCTTGCTTGAAGTGAGAGGTCCGGTTCAGGTGCGGTACCGAATGTGGAGCCATCAACAGAGATACTTCGTTCTCTAACATCTTGATAGACGGATACTCCGGAAAGATCACCTTCACCCATGTCGGCATCGACAGTCAGACCGGTCTCGTCTTCCGAGGCATCGTCCAGACCGAACCCACGCGCAAAATCGGCAGCTGTTGTCGGCTTGTTGATGTCTACTACTGACGAGGGTGCGGTGACAGGAGGGGGAGATTCCTCCTCCTCTGGCTCTTGTTCTTCCGCGACGATCCCAATGTTTCTTGGGGGGAAGAGGAAGCGCGGTTGGAACTCAGGCGCAGCGGCACTCAAGCTCATGCTGGTCTGATGTCCCCGGCGTGGGGCCTCATTTGACGGGCTCTCGTGCGGCGAGGATGATGACAGCTTAGAGAGCTTATACTGGAGCAAGTTAGGGAAGCCCGACGACATCTGCGTCATCTAAACGTGGTCAATATATGCAGGGACATTCTGTAACGCAATTCGGACGTACAGAAAGTGACCGTGAATGCGCATGCGCGGGAGCCATGATCGCTGGGATGGGTACCGGCATCTGCATCTGAGGTGGCTCCTTCGACGGCTGTCCATAGCCCAGTGATGCCAGCTTGGAGTCGACCATCGCTTGTTTATACCGGGCCCAGGCATCCTAGACACGTGTTCATTATCAGTACCAGTGTCAGAGTCATGGCACCGGCGAGGCAAGGGCACGTACAGACGCAGGCATGATTACCATATACGGCGCCCCCATATCCGACCCGAACCCGTCGTACTCAACATGGGAGAATATGGAGAGGTGTGGGTCGGCGTCGGGCGGAATATCTTCACCAAGGAACAGGACAGGTCCTCGAGCCCAGAGACTTCTTTTTCTTCCCTGTTCCTTTGCGATGACGTCCCCTTTTCCCTCTTCCTCTTCTTCTTCGATATCGTCCAGACCGCTTAATCCACTCTCAAGAGGAAGCAGCACGACATACTTCTTCGGACGCTCGAATGCGCTCGCCGTGCCCGTAGCAATGATAGGAGTCATCGGACCAGTTATAGGGGCGATGGAAGTGTTGATTTTCTTCGCCTGAGGTCCTCCGAGGGCTGCCTTCGGTGGTCCTCCAATACTCGGTTGCCTTCTGCTCCGTTGTTGAAATCCTGTCGGACTTGGACCCGCCATCTGGCTGGGGGAGCGAGCATGCGCGTGAAATCCCCCAGGAGAGATAGTGGGCATATGCACTGATGACGGGGAGGGTATGTGTGGGTGAAGTTGACCCGGTGTGAGCTGCGGGATATGCAATTGGGAGGGCGATCGGCCATGCCCGAGTGACTGTGCCGGGGACGCGGACGCTGGAGGAGCGTATCCAGGAGCTACCATCGGCATGACTGGTAGTTGCATACCTACTGGAGCACCAAGCGGTAGGTTGATGTTCAGACCCATGGGCAGCGGCCCACCGATCGCTCCTGGCATAGGGGCGAACCCAGCGCCAGGCGGCATAGAGGCGGGGATGAAGCCTGCCATACTTGGGCGAGAAATGTGAGCCTGCTGGTGTGGATTGAACGGCGGATTCGGGTAGTTTCCTGGAATACGAGGTGGTGGGGTCCGTTGAGGGAGCTGCACGGGATGGGTATTGTTTGCGAGTGCGGCACTCAGGGCGGGCCCGAACAGCGGCGCCTGTTCGAACATTGACGAGGCTGCAAATCCCGGTCCAGGTCCACCACGTCTTGCCATCGTTGCCGCACGGTGACTGTAGGTTAGGATAGTTGGTCGGACGAGGATGGTATCCGGGTATCGGGGGTGGTATCCGAGCTCGAGCTAGGCGTCGTCCGCTGCCTGCTTGCTCTAGTCTGACTGGCTAGGCTGGTATAGCACAGCGACAGATGACACGCCGTGCGCCGAGAACAGGTATTTTGCGACGTCAAGGACGGTGAGCGGCCGGTGGACGACGAGCAGCAAGAAGATGAGGGGGGGAGGAGAGCCTCGAGGCAGAGAGCGGCGACCCTTGCTTGGAATGTGTGCACAGAATTATTCCCTTGTAGCACTTGGCTTCTTCTTTCTCATGCCCTTTTCTATTTGTTACTCGATTTAATGAACTACTACTAGTAACTACGATGTCAAGACTTTCTTGGTACAAAGAATTAGAAAATTGACGGGCTTGCCCTGTGGTCGAAACTAACCTGAAGTGCATCAGCACTGTGACAAGTCAGAGACCAGCTGTATGATGACCTGTCAACGCGTGTCTGCCACACACCTCTGTGGCATATCAATAGCCGCATGTTCCTCTACACGAGCCACGAATATATGTTCCTGGATAGAATTTCGCGAAAATATAGAAGCTGTAGAATTACCAACGCATTTCAATGTCGGCCCGGCACCCTGAACGGAAACGCAATTCTGGTGGTTACCAGTTGTTGCGAGATCCCTTTCCTTGCTTTTCAACTCTGTTCATTCTTTAACTTGATGTACTATATCTAGGAATACATGCAGTTATGACATACACAGTCTTTGGCTACGGTTCACTCATCTTCAAGCCTCCACCACATACGATTCACCAACGTGAGGCTTGTCATCGCCCTCTCTTCCAGCGTTTTGCTGACACCACTCAGGACCAGGTTATGTGAAAGGCTACGTCCGACGGTTTGCACAAAGCTCCTGGGATCATCGAGGTACCATCAAGGTCTGTAATGTTCACTCTCAGCTCACATCCGATCCTGACTCGGGGTAGCGTCCTGGAAGGGTAGTGACCATCATCCCCTGGGGCGAATGGCACACATTGGCAGAAGTGCGTCCCACTCCTTTCTACCCATAACCCCGAACAGACGTTGAATGCAGCTTTTCCATCTATTATGATAGGAGAGGAGACACGAAGAAGCCGCAGACAAGGAAGACATTGTCTGGGGTGTGGCATACACTATCGATCCCCAGTACGAGGATGAGGTACGAGCATATCTAGGTATGTCGCCCCTTCCCCGCAAGGGCCAGGTCTGACTGACACTATCCAGACTACAGAGAGAAGAACGGATATTCCGTGCACACGGAAGACATCTACAACCTCGTGAACGGGAAGGAAGAGCTTATCATACCCCAGTGTATAGTACGTCCCTCCTCCTTACCACACATCCCCGCTCATATAGTTATGCCAGTTATACGTCGGGCTAGCCAGCAACCCCTCGTTCGTCGGCCCTGAGCCGCTGGACTATCTCGCTCACCGTATATGGAGTTGCACCGGCCCTTCCGGGGCGAACCGAGTATGCACCTCCTTCCACTTTCCGGTATTCAGTCGTTGACCGAGTCCCAGGATTACTTGTATGGGCTTGCCAAGGCGATTCGAGAGCTTGCACCTGGGAGCCATGATGTGCATCTCGCTTCTCTGGAGACGCGAGTCCAGTCGTTGGAGGTGGACGAACGTGCAGGTTTGCTGCTGCTCCCTGCTGGGGAAGATGTCGCCGATTCAAATATGGAAGAACCACAGGGGGAGCAGTTCGCACAAGTCGCTATCATGGTGAATGAAGATACATAGAATTGATAGAAACATGTAGACAATCCCGAATGTAGCCCTACTGCACATCTGTCCTATAGCTCTGCGCTCGTCCCCAATAAACCCTAACACAGACCAGCACAGAAAAAGAGAGAGAGAGGGGGGGGAAGCTCAAATCCAACTATTGCGTGTCAATTGCTACCAAGAACAGACACGGCTAGGCGAGGGTTATGACGGAGGCGCGTTGCCCGCAGCACTGTCTTGTCCATCCTTAAGCTTCCCGTCCTTACCCTTGCCATTAGGCTCAGGCTTAGCATCGTGCCCATCCTTCCCGTCCTCCACGATCGTCGCGTCTTTCGCGTTATTTCCATTCTGCGTACCATTCGTCCTCCCATATGTAGCACTCTCGACGATGGTCAGCAATCGCGTGGTCTCCCCTGCAGCATGTGCCGTCGGTTCCAGCGTAGGACCCCTCGATAAACTCAGGTTGCGCGCGTCGCTGTCAGAGGAAGTAGCGCGTGAATCCTTCGCTATTCGTCGTCCTTGTTCGATAATGCCTCGCATGACGGCTGCGTTTCCTCGCCGCTTGACGGCTTGACGCGTGTGGTTGTCAGTGTAGAGATCGGTCTCGTCTACGATCTCTTCGTTGATCATCTCCTCGATGATGTCCTCCACTAAATAGGTGTTAGCGCTTGCACCTAACAGATAAACATGAGAAGACGCACGAGTGATGACACCTAGTGCACCATAGGGCTTTCCAGGATGCTCTGTAATCAACAGCAAATGTGCTCTCCCCGTCTGGAAGTAGTCCAGCGCTTGGAAGCAGTTGATGCTCGCCTTCGCTTCGGGCAAGACCGACAGAGGGAACGCAGACACCGGTAAGCTGTCATCCGGGTCGTATGCGATGAGACGCTTGATGAGTAACAAGCCGATAAAGCTGCGCTCTCTGCCCGGCTCGTGTACTGGAAAGCGGGAATAGCCGGAAGCGATGAGCTGTTCGACAGTCTCGTTGTCGAGGATTTTGTCGTATGAGATGACCGAAACGTCCTGCCCTCGTGTCAGCCTACTTGCCTGGTCACTGCAGGAACGACTTACATCAATGGGTGTCATAATATCTAAGACGACCTTTTCATTCAGGCTAAGCACACCATTCAGGATACTAATCTCGTCGTCTCGTAGAGGCTCGGCTCCACTTTTATGAAGCTGTAAGAAACTCTTGAGCTCTGCCTTTTTATATGTGTGCTCCTCGTCTTCTCCGAGAACATGGTCGAGCAACTTCGCAATAGGCCATGCAATGGGCGCTACAAACTTCTTTAGCCTGTTAAGACCTGATGAAGAGAATGATGCTCACCGAATATCCACATGAGGAGCCAGACAAACCAGACGCATTTCGCTCCTATTGACAATCCATAGCGCGCACAAACGGCTTGCGGGATGATTTCTCCAAAGATGACAATCAAGGTTGTAGAGATACCAATTGCCCAGAATCCTCCACCGATCTGATTCAATATGTGAGCGAGTACACAGGTACGCTGTAAGCATACGCACAGCATCATCTAAGAATATAGGTAACGACTCATTGACGACCACGTTGCTCAATAGCAGGACGACCAACACCCAGTGCTTCTTGTTGTGTAGAAGCCTTCGCACCTTCTCCGCATTTGCTTTCTCTACCGGATCATCTGAGCTGGTGGCGAGAACCCTGAGATGTAGCTCATCCAAGCCCATCAGCCCAAGCGTGAGCCTGGTGTCAAGTTAGTCATCGACACACGAGGATAGAGAACGCATTTGCTCACCCAGCGAAGACACCGCCAGCCAATACCAAGCACAAAGAAACGAGGAGTTTCCCATAGAACTCCGGGGAGCCCCATTCTTCATGATCCGATGGGTCGTCAAAGACCGGACTGTTACCGTGTGCATGCCTCGTCTGGAGTGCGAGGTGGATGCCGGCGCGCGAGACGTGTACTACGGTAGGCAGGTACATCGTTGAGCCACAAAGTAGACAAGAACAGCAATGATGTTATGAGCGCGTACGCCGACAGAGGCAGTAGGCACAGTGATCGCTCAGCGCAGCAGTGCAATAATATCGGTAGAGCCGAAGGGGTAAGGTGGCGGGGATACGACGAAGTCTCGATTCCTTTGCCAAGTAAGGGAAGGGATCACGTGATCTTTACCTTTTCTGAATTACCCACTAAAAATGGAATTATCAAGAACCTGATCAACTGGATTGCATCGTGATGGAACAATTCTGGTCAACAATTGGGCCGCGAGACGGGATGAATTCGGAATTACAGCAAAAGCTGCCTGTTTCGGGTACTGCCATGATCTGCACGTGTCAACGTAAGGGATATTATTGGCCGGAATTACGATCCGGCTGACACAGAATATTGGCAGGCATATCTGTCATTGCGAACCAGCCTACCTTAGAACATCCAATTAAGAGGAGCAGTTTATTCTCCACCCAATAATCAGCGCATCTGCCACTTCTCCCCTTGCGGCGCAGCAATCTCCCAACTCAGCATCAGCTCTTGGGTGCTGCCTGGCCCAAGCTTGAGAACCCATTCCACTTGTCCGTCAGGTGCTTCGTTCTGGCTGCTCTTGTGAATCCCCTTGCTGAGGTTTCCAGCATTTACAGTGCCCTTCTCGTTCGTATCCCAGTCTTTCCTCGCCCAATAGCAGAATGCATCCTGCCCGAGTTTAATATCCTCACCCGCCTTCGCCTCCCCCAGCTTTTTTGGTTCCAATACTGTGATCTTGAACCTCTGCTCCTCGGAAACAGGCACAATGTCCCGAACGAGCAGCTTGACCGTGCTCGTACGTGTGTTCTTAACACTGATATACTGCGTGTACAGAGTCACGTCCTGCTTAGAGGAGCTGAGGAAGTTTCCTGAGCCCTGGGTGCGCGCCTTCTTCGATTGCGGCGGATAATTGATGCGTATGGAAGAGTCGACACCGACGGAACATGCGAATGTGTCCTGAGGTGACACAAGCGGGATGGTCGACTTGGCAACGAAGGATCCATCGAGGAAGACATTAGATGGACCAGAAAGGAGGACATATCTTGACGAATTCGTGATGTGACACTGTCGAAGCATTCAGGAGACAGACATGCCGCGTAATTGGAGATACACACCTGCAAGAATGCACTCGTGTTCAGCCTCGGCACCGCGATCCACTCGAGTGTTGCCGTGAGATCCAGAACGCTAATGGCGACCTTATGCGTAGTCCCATCGGTGGGAATATTGCTGAAACCCTCAATGTGGAAGCTTGTACTGAGGGCGCCTTCCTTGGTTGCCGTCCTCCGGGAACCCATCATAGGAGGCGGCCTCGCTTCGAGTTCATCCTCCTCATCTTCCGATAGTTCAGCGAGCATCATCCGGCGGTGTCGCATACCACCGGTCGCCATGCGAGCCATAGGCATTGCAGCTCCAGGCGGGGACGACATGGAAGCAGTCACGGGGTTTGCGCGCATCTTAAATCTGGCTTTGGAAGCGAAATCAGTCACGGCGTTTATCCGCTGGGTTTGCAGTTCCGGAATGTTCGTCCCTGTCAATGGGGAAGAAGTAGACAAGACCAGATTGACGTCCTTCCAATTTTCTCCCGTGGTTTGCATGATAGAAGCGCGATAGTTGAGCGAAATGGATGTCGTATTTTCACCCTTAGAGCTGGCGTCCACTGTAGCACGCAGGTCGTACAGAGGCTCCCAGTCTGCATTTGACACAACTACAGCCGTAGTCAGGCCAGAACTCTGGGCAATTGAGCATTGGACGTACCATATTTTACCGTCAGCTCGGCAGGACCGGCTTGTTCGGCCAACACAATAACTGTGACCTTCGTGGCTAGCTTCCGCGCCTCCTCGCTCGGGATCTGTCCATTTCTCTCCACTGCGATCTCTAACTGCACTTCCTGCAATCGTTTGTGTGTCTTCTCTCTCATCTCCTCCAATGATGTCCCTTTGTCCTCAAGTATCCCCATGAACTCCACAAGCTGCGACGGATTCACATCCTTCGCAGTCAGGCTCTTCGAGAAGTCGCCAAGAATCGACGTTTGAATAGTGAGCACCTTCAACTCGCGGCGAAGTGTCGCTTCTTCGATTTCAAGCGCTGCAACCTTCTCCGATGACGCTTTCGGAACAGTGAGCTTTGGCGAAAGACGCTCGTAGATCACATCGAAGATGACTGCGTTCCCGATGCCATCGACGCGCAATGAAGACTCGTCCATGCATGTCGGA